CCAGCGTGACCGCCTGGTTCATGAGGTGCCGTACGTCCCCGGCCGTCCAGGGGAGGTTCTGGAAGCCGATCTTGCGCATGCCCTCATAGGCCAAGCAATGTGCTCGGATGGTCCGGAAACGGGCATCTCCGAACAGGTGGCCAAACTCCTCCAGCTCCTTGGCCCCCATCACCTGGTGCATGTAGGGGATCTGGTGGCGGAAGGGAATGAAGTAGCCCAGGAGGCGTTCCAGCCACCTGGCCCTCAAGTGCTGTTCCAACGCTCGTTGGGATGTCGGCAGTTGGGTTTTGATCTTCCCTGGTTTCCAATGCCGCCACTTGTTGGCCACTGCCAGGACATCCGGGGCCTCAATCGATCCGGAGAGGATCCACTCCTCACGGTCCCGGATGGCCTGTTCCATTTCCAGTGGAGAATAGGTGTACGATTGTCTAGCGCCTGCCGCACGAAACAGAAGTTGCTGCAGGGTCTTAGTAGCGAGCTCCAAATCCGCCTCCTCCAGCGGTTGTGGTTGGGAGCCGAGTATCCTTGCGAGGATCAAGTTGTAGGTGTCCGAGGCCACCAGGACATGGTTATCGTCGGGTGCCATCCCCACGATTCGTGTCCACGGTCGCGGGTCGAAGACCACCGCATCCGGGTTGGCAACCTGGTCCTTTTTGACCCATTCCAGGCAGCACGCCACGAGGATTTCCCCGTCCGACTGCACTGGTGCAAATCCAAGGTCATGCAAAATCAACTGGACCGCGGTTGGGACCCCTAGGAAGGTCGTTCCAAACGGGGAAGGGAGGCGGGGCCTCCACATCATCATGATCCACTCGAGCCCGGAGCCAAATCTCTAGGCGCCAACCCCAACCCAACAACAGGGGGGGCCCCAAAACCCCGGAAAGCCAAACCCGAAAACGGGGGGGGGGGGACCCGAGCCTCCACGGAAAGGGAAAAACCAAACGAGGGGGGGAGCCCAGGCGCACTCCGGACCAGCCCAAGCGCGCCCATTTTTCTCGCCTGGTACAGGTCAAGGCCTGTGCTGTGCCCGGGGGGGATATCAGCGCCATCGGCAGCTGTCCTCCCCCGGGGTGCCCTGCGAGTCCGTTCCGGATGGCCGCAGTGCTGCATGATCACACGGCCCCCTTGGCAATGTCGTCAATGCGCTTGAGCGCCGCCGCCTCCGGGTTCCGGAGAATCAGCTCCCAGATGGCATCTGAAACATGGCCGGTCTGGGTGACGTGGCTGAACCTAAACCGTGGGACTTTCTGGTCCACCACGGAGACATCCCGCAGCGGGGCAGACGGCTCTACCCGGCGGTAGAACTCCAGCCGTTCCTTGACCCAGCGGTTGTACAGTCCATCGGGCGGCTCGTCCAGCACCAGCTGAAGGATGGCCTTGCCGGCCCGGATCTGGAGGAGGCGAGTGCCCCCTCCCCCGGCGCGCCAGTACCCCTTGCAGTACTTGCACATATAGCCCCCCCGGGTCTCCCCCTTCGTCTTGGGGATGAGCTCCCATGGGGTGACTGAGCTCAGAACCAGGCCGCACTCCATGTGCGCCCAGAAGACGTGCTTCGTCTCTGCCAAGAAGTTCTTCTTCTTGTAATCCTTGCCCACCACGCCGTGGACGTTGTCCGATGTGATGGGGGGGTAGACGATCCCCTCATCGCCCTCTCCCTGGGGCGGATGTCAGGGCCATCGACACCTGTCCGGCACCCGGGGGCGGAGGGGTCCAGGCCCATCAGCTTGATCATGTCGTTGGTGTAGCCGAGCTTGCGGTAGATGGAGGGGGCCACTGAGTCGGGGACTGCGCCGACCCACCACTGCTTCGTGTTGCAGCGCCAGTTGACTTTCACCTCCGCCAGGGCCCCCGGGCCTCCAATGCGGCCCTCTGGTACACCTCCGGGAACTGCTGGAGACTCTCCACCGGGACAGATATGCGCTCATCACATACCGCCCGGAGGATCATCTGTTCCTTGGAGTCCGCCACGTCCTGGACCGGGAGCTGCATTACCTCCGCCGGGGTGTCCGTGAGGAAGGCCCGGGCCGCAAGGACCTTGCCCATGGCCCGGTAGACCAGGCGCCACTCCGGTCCTGTCTGCGGAAGCGGAAGGCCCTCCTCCTTCAGGAAGCACCGAGCATCTTCCTTCAGGGTCTCCCAGCCTTCCAGGCGGATCTGATTCTGGGCCTTGTTCTTCGGGCCCCGCTGTCTAGGGCCCTGAAGCAATGGCAGGGACTCCCAGACTCCCCAGAGCTGGCGCAGAGTGAAGCTGTGACCAAACATCCCCAGCAAGCCTGGGAGTGTCCAGGACGAGATCTGGCGCGCCCAGTGGAAGTCCTCCTCCGGATCGTGGGGGGCCGCCCAGAAGATGGATCGCAGGTCCTCGGGGTATGGTCGGTCCCCCGCCTTGGCCTGCTGGTTCAGCTCCTCAACGGAGTACCTGGCCCATGGGAGTCCACCCGCCTGGTGGTTCCTGGGATGCGTACCCTTTTCCAGCGCCTCCGGATTCACCTTGGTGAGGTTGTTGGCCCAGTCCGGGACGTGTACGGGCCCCGGTCGTCGGACCCAGCGGCCCGCAAAGATGCGGACCTCTCCGACACGCTTGCTCATCATCCAGCGCAGGACCGCGAGCTGCACCTCCGGGTCCTGGGTGTCCAGGCCCCCCGGGGTGGCGGACGGCTTGTCAGGGCCCTCGGCACCTGAGCTCGTCGCACCAGAGCCCGAAGCTGGGGGGATGGTGGGCTGCCTGTCAGGGCCCTCGGCACCTGGGCGCGCCGCACCAGAGCCCCCCGCCTTTGGAATGGGGATCCCCGCCAGATCCGGCAGATCTGCCAGGAGGGCCGCCGGAAAGGGGTTCCTACCCAGCGAGATGACCGCCTTGGCTTCGAGGTAAGAGTCCGTGAGGGACGTGAGGTCGTCCATGCTGAAATCCCTCCATGCCGTGGTCGGCTCAAAGACCCCTGTCTCAATGGCAACTCGGACCTCGCTAGGCCACGCACTGAATGGAGGCTTGATGGGCTCGAGCATTCTGGTCTCGAGGGCGCCCTTCGCTTGTCTGGCCTGGTGCTTTGCCTTCGCCTCTTCCGCAGTGGTCTGGGCCTGGAGGAGCTCCGGTGTGGGCCTCCCCCAGTCCGCGCCCAGCTTATCCAGCAGTTTCTCGCGGAAGAGGTCCAAGTCCAAATTCTTGAGGAGTTGGCCCCCATCGCCTCCTCCATCGATGGCCCCTCCTTGAAGCTCGTGGAGGACCGCCGCGGATCGCTCCACCGCTGCCACCTGGTCTGCCTTCTTGGCCTCCTCCTGGGCGATGGTGGTGGCGTTGAGCCGGGTCTGGATTTTGAAGGCCTTCACTGCCGACGGGTGGAAGGCCCTGCACTCCTGGCCCTCTTCCTTGTCGCCCGGCAACGGGGGCCTTTCCCCCATTGGGGCCGTCAGGAAATCCTCGTCCAGCTCCATGGGGCAGTTCCTGATCACCGCCCGGACCGAGGAGGGGACAAAATCCGAGAAGCTGGCCTGGTCCAGGTTCTCGCATGCCATCGGGTCGGTGGCCAGCTCGCTGACATCCACCGAGGCGCTGAGCTTGAGGTCGCGGGCCCGGTCCGTATCAGGGCCATCGGCACCTGCGGACCGGGCCGCCGTCCAGACCGCATTGCCCTGGTCATCCACTGTCAGCTGCCAGTGCGTGCCCGCCATTTCCAGGGTGGCCAAGTTGGACGCCGTGTCGATGGGCTCCGTCTTTTTGCCGCACCCCATACACTTCCTGGCGCCCTTCTTCACCCAGGGCATGGTGCAGCAGGGGCAGATCCAGGATGTGGGCTCCTTACCCAGGGGGCGGTTCTCCAGGCCCCCATACCCCAGGCCAGCGCGCTTGCCAACCTTCTGTCCCGGGGTGCTGAGCAGGGCCTCATGCTCATACTTCATCTTGGCGATGTAGAACGCCTCCACCACGCGCTCCAGGCCCCCCTGCTTGAGTTGGGGGCCCTCAAAGCCTCTCAGGAGCCGCTGGACATCCTTGGCCTGCAGTCGGCGGAGCCTGGTGGCCGTGGTCGCATCAAAACACGGGAAGTCGCCCGCCATCTGGTCCGCACTGAATTGGTAAAGGCCCTCAGAGACTTTGAGGGCCTTGGTGAAGACGCTTCCCCCTGGCGGGGGGGCTGCGGGGTCCTCATCCCCCTCCGAGGACGCCTGCGCCCTGGCCTTTTCCATCAGGTCCTGGCGTCCCTGCCACTTGGTGTCGGACATCGGGGGGTCCACCTCATCTTCCGCCAGGGGTTCCTCCATCGGGGGCTCCTCCTCGTCTTCCGCCAGGAGTTCCTCCATGGGAACATCCGGCTCTGGAGGGTCGAGAAGCTCCAGGAACGCCCCTGGGGGGCGTGTCAGGGCCTTCGGCACCTGCGCCACCCCAGGGGAGGAGTCCGCCATCAGCTCGTCCTCGGCCTTACGCTTGGCTGGGATGAGTGGGGCTTGCTCCAGCTCGTCGGCGCTGGAGAAGAACCGTTCGTCCGGTGCCTGAGGGACCTCAGCCGCCAGGACGGTCCAACCTTCTTCCTCCTTTTTCACAAGGCTTGCCAGGTACTTCGCCATGGATGCCTTTGCCTTCGCCTTAGCCTCTGCAACCGCGGCACCAGCATAGGCGGGGGCGTACATGGCTTTGATAGGAGGGGAATGAGAAGTTTCAGATTCCAAGACAGAAGGGAAGTGCCCACTTGAGCCAAAATGGTGGCCCAAGTGGACACTTACAAAGAGTCAAGACAAGCGACCACCTGCGGTTAACACTTTAGCCCAGTTTGTTTAAGAGCGACGTGTTTATCTTGTTTCTTCCTTCTTCTGTTTGTTTTTTGGGGGGTCCCTTCTGTTTTTCGTGTTATTTGTTTTTCGGGTCCCATTCCGTTTTTCTCGTTCCAACGATTGTTCGATTTGCTGTTCGGTTTTCCCCCCCTTTTTTCCGTGCGCTTTGTTTTTCATTTTTTTCGGTGGGGAGGGGGGGTCCGCAGGTTTGCTTTCTCTTCGCGGCTTCGCGGGTCCTGGTGGTGCCAGGCCTGCTCCAACTTGGCGCGGAGCTTCTCCATGGCAGCGCTGCGCCGGGCCGCGGAGCGGAAGCCGCGGCAGTCCTGCGCGGGGCCCGGGTGGGCCCGGGGTGGGCCCGGGGTGGGCCCGGGTGGGGTTGGGGAGGTTGGGGGGGGGGGGGGTTGGGGTTGGAGTGGTTGGGGTTGGAATTGAGTAAAAAAAGCGGGGAAACGGGGAGGAAACCAGGTTTTTAGTTTGATTTTTACGATGATCGGTATGTTTTTCTCAAAAAAAAGAAATGGGCTTGTTGGGGGTGGGGGTTAGGGTTGGAAGCTGGGGATTGGGGGGGGGGTTTGGGAGGATATGGAATCCGACAAAAGATATACCTTGTTGGGAAGCCAGTGGAAACCAACCTAAAATCTGACCCTGCGTGGATGCTCGGGCAAAAACGGTAAGTGGTTCGCGACTTGGGATATGACCCACCCCAGGGAGTCCAAAGGCCTGAGTTACGGAGGCCGTTTAAACACGGAAGCTCTGGGCACCAACAACAAGGCTAGTTCAACTTGCGGTGTCGAGTCGTAATCGAAGTTACCGAGAACTTACTAGCTTGCGGAACACCATTCAGAATCTTGCTGCTCAGCAGGGAATGAGGGAATGACCTCCAGAAGAACCATCCCTTTCCTTTCAGAGAATGCCATTCCGGTTCTCACGGCTTTTCGCACGGGACTCTCAGGGAGGTCAGCTTTAATTATCCGGGTCTTTGGGGCTTTGGACCCCTCATGACCTGGTGCCGTGTTTTCACCCACCTTTTCTTCTGGGTTTGCAGGCAAGCCTTTGAGCCCTGGTTTCTTGTGCAGGGCATATGGGGAGGCAAACCTCCAAGCCAATCCAAAGCACTAAAGCAAAACCGGCGGTTGCCCTTTTGGCTTCCGATTCCAAGGCGGAGGCACCCTCAAAGAACAGAAACCCTATGCCCAGCTTCCCCAGCGTCAACATCCAAGCTGGAATCCTGGTGGCTCCAGCCTGATCTGCTGAAAGTTGAGCAATGTAGATGTCAAATCGGGAGTTTCCTCACCCCAAGTCTGAAGTGAACACATGGCTGGGCACCAAGTCACCGCTGAAGATCCGGCCTGAAATCCCCCCCGCAAACGGGGATTTTGGACCCACCGTTGGCCTTCCGGAAGGTTCCCTTTGTGGCCAGAAGGGTACCCAAGACACACACCCAGACCAAAGGTCTCTGCTTCGGGAAGAAGAAGCGCGGGAAAAGCAGGGGTCTCATTGGTTGAAGCATTCCCACTCACGCGACACTCTCTCAAGGGTGATGTTTATAGGTATGAAACACAGGTAACCCCCCAGAACTGGGACATTTCCCCCTCCCCCGACCCAAAAAAAAGGAAAAGAACACAACACAACAACATGGGTTGATGTTTTTCTTTTCAAGGGCAAACCATGCATAAACCGAGTTGTCCACAATCATGGCTTCAAAATCCCCAGCAGCTGGGATCTGCCACCAATCCCCGAGCCTCCACGGTGAACACCGCCAAGACCCCCAGCTGGGAGAAGGCCTCCAGGGCGCTTCGCCACTTCGCCTCCACCTGAAGCCAAGGAATCATCGCTTTTGGAGAGGAACATCCACCTATTAATAAACTGGGGTTGACTGATATGGGGCCAACATTACTAGGTTCCTTCAGTAGAGAAGTTAGAACAAGGGTACATGTTTCTTTCTAGAGTCTATTTTAGTAGGGGAACCCTCCCCCAAAACAGGGTGAGACAGGGCACTATGGGGGACCTAGAAGGATTGCAACGGGGAATGAGACAATTGGATCCGGACCACCCTCCCCGATTGGGCTTCCTGTTTTCGGGAATTTCCGGTTTCCCCTGTAGAAACCAGTGAGCTAGTTGGAATGACGTCAAGAAAAGCCAGGAGAATGGGAGTCTAACCCCAGGAAAAACCATCACCGAGTTGGTTTTTCTTATTCGGGAATCCCCGAACCTGGCCATTCCCAACACCCGGACTTGGTCCTTCCCTACGCGCGACAGGAAGGAAACGAGTCATTGAGGAATGCCCTACCCCCCTAACCCCCCACCTTCCGACGGAGAAATCAAAGCCTGGTCAAGTGTAACACGCAAATTGGTTTGTGTTTCTATTTTTGAGGTACCCTTTTGAGGTTGATTCCAATTAAGGCGAAACCAAAGGATGACCACCATTTCGTCAGCACAAAGAAAAGAAAGGAAATGGGTGCTTCCGACTTCCGTTTCCTTAAGCAAGCCCTAAGAGTGAGAAAAGAACTTGGTCAACCTTCAGCCCGACGGATTTTCTATCTGTAGCACCATCATTTAAGTTAAAGGGCAAGGATCCCAGAGGGTCCATCTAGAGGCTGAGGATGGCATTTGGGGAGAGAAAAGGGGTCTAAGCACCTCCTTAGAAGGTACCAAGGGATTTTCTCGGGATGTGGCACCATCATTTTGTAAGGATCGGTGCTTCCGCCAAGGGCTCCGGCAAAAAAAACAGGACTCCCGAGCTTTGGGGCGCCAAAATCGCTGTCTCATCCCATGGGCAACACTCGATCCGCATGTCATGGCTTGCGGTCCAATCCCTGTCCGATCCTCAAAATGGATCTCGGGTGGTTGGTTCCTTCCGTATAGCCTCGTTTTTCGCTCATGAAGTGCAAAAGAGCACGAGTCAGTATACTTTTCACCCCAAACCTTGCACAAGTTAGGGGAACACTGTACGACATGGCTCGCAAAGCTGCAATGTGTGGTCCTTCCAGGGATATATACGGACTCCCCAACAAAAACAGAACCATTCCCCCTGCACATAAGCATCCGAGAAACAAAAAACAAAGCAACCACAAGGTCACGGTTCAAGCCACCAAAGGGTTACACTGTGGGCCTCTCTTTGATGAGGGAACGGATCCCCCCTCAGTTTTTGAGGGTCCTTTTCCTTCGATTCCAGTGCAGCAGTGGGAAGACCAAAACGGCTGAAATTCGCCCTCTAAATGGTTTGAGGGTTTCACCATCCCCGAAGCTTTTGTTTCAAACCCTTCAAGATACAAACGCAAGGACTTGGTTGACGTTGGAAGGGGAGCAAAAATTCAAATGTTAGCAGTTAAGTGGTTGGATTTCAACCACTAAACCACAATAATATCAAAAATGGTTCAACTGTTTCCCAACGACAACCATGAGGAGACAAGCAGGACCCGCCTCGGACCCCGGACCCAACGGACCCGCAAAGTGAGATCTGGCCCTTTGGGGGCAAGCCGAAAACCTGGACAAATGGGAAGCCAACATTGGGAAAACCCAAAGGTTAAAAGGTCGGTTCTTGGATCAGCAACCGCAAAAAATGTCCCACCCTCAAACCCCTTGCAAATAGGACAAAGGCGACATTACTCAAATTTCAAGAGTAGTTGACGGGTCCACGCACCTGACAACCTAAGGAACACAAGAACGAATCCTAGTCAAAGGTACAAAGAAAGGTCCAACATAAATTGTCTTCTTCCGAAAAAAGAACAAGTCATAGCCTCTACCGGAGATCCCTTGTCCTTTTTTCGGCCTGACCCGCGCGAATCGAGCCGTGGATTCGAATCGGCCGATGCGTCGAGCGGTCCTCGTTGGCATCTCGGACGAGCACAACGGCGCCGCTGCCGCGGCGCGGCGCGGCATTCAAAAGCACGTGCCCGGAGAGGTCCGACAGAATGGAGGCGAGGTCCTCCAAGGCGGGCAGACGGGATGTTAAATCTCCATGAGAAATAATTTGGGCATGGGTTAACATAAAACCAGGGGATGTACATGAGAGGCAAATTGAAGTGGAAAGGGAAACTGACTGGGGTGGAAAGTTGGGAAAGCCCTCAGTTGGCTCAAAGAAAGCTAGTGGCAGACATTGCATGAGAGGTGTATTGGGTATGGGTGAAAATAAAACCGGGATATGGAACGCCGGCAGCCAAATGGTTCAGCACTGGAAAGTGGGGGAAGTCCTCAGTCAGCTTAAACAAAGCTTCGACAGAGGCAGGCATCCATGGGAATTCTTGGAGTTGAGAAAGGGCAATGGCCTCCAAGTGTTCTGGACTTCCGTTTTAGCTCTTAGCTCATTGCCAAAAGGGTAAAACATGGGGGGTCCTTTTGGGAATAACAAGCAGGTCTCACAGGCAACAAGTTCTGACGCTTTGCTAGTTAAGAGGGAACATAAAGGAAAACCATAAGCGGACCTATACTTTGTCGGACCTCAAACCTCTTGGGAAAACTAAGACAACCTGTATCTGAGTGCCAGGTAGGGTTCCGGGAAAGATGCAAAACATGCTGGGCTAGTTATGGTAGCACCTGATGCAAAAGGAAGTAAACTGCTAACTTGTGCAGACGGTTGATTCTACCTTGAGCTGTTGAGAATGTTCCTTTGGTGTCCGATTGAAGTGGCTCCAACAAAAGGGCGTAGAATTACAGAAGGGCCCCTCATGAGACGCTCTCTCTAGAATTACCCACCGGGGAGCTTCATGGAATTCGGAATCTTCTTGCTGGTTCTCAGCAGGGAATAAGATAGACTGACCCTAAGAAAAACCGCGCCCTATGGTTTCCTTTAAGGGAATCCCTAGGTTCATTCCCAACACCCTGAGTCATTCCCTACTGACCACCGGCAAGTCTTCCCAACTGATAGATGGGTCCATCGTACCCCAGATGACCGAACGCGAGTTCCTTGCTCCCAAGCAAGAAGCAGACACGTCGCTGAGACAAACACATGTGAGAGCCATCTACATTTGATGAAAACCATGTATCAAGGGACACAAAGGATACAGACCGGCAGACAGACAACCCAAAGGGAAAAAAAACAGACAAACAAAAACCACGCAGTCAGCCAAGTAGGCAGGCAGCCAAGCAGGCAGCCAGGTAGGCAGACCTTGGCAAACAAGCAAACCCAAACTCACACTGCATGGCTCAAAGTATTTGGTCCAACACCAATACGAACCAACCATGTTGGGAGTGTAATTCCTCATGTCCATGTGGCATGGCAAAACCACACCCTCATGGAGCAACAAATGAGCAGAACCTTTGACGCTTGAGTCTACCAACATGCTCATAGAAGCCATCATCACATCGCAGTAGAACCAGCTACTAAAGTGGCCCTTTTGGGGGGTCTTGGACGCTGCCCATGTGGCATGGTAAAAACCAGACCCCCATGGAACAACCAATTATGCAATGGGTATGCGTCAAGATGGGAGTATCCTAGCAAAGACAAGTTTCCTTTTGGTTTCCTCTTGGTTTGCTAGAAAGGATTGGTTCCTTTTTAAGCTTCCCTTCAACATGATTAATAGATTTTATTGTTTCCTTCATTTTTGAGTCACTGGTAACATTTAAAATGTCTCCTAAGTCTACCCCAGTTTCAAATCGAGTTTTTTCTCCAAAAAAAATAATAACCCAACAGCCCAGTGGGCTCCTTCCGTGGCTGTCCGCTGCTATGGAAGTCGTTGAGGGAGCAGTGGACCAGCGCAATAGCGCTGCCCCAGATGTGCAGCGCCAGCACCGCTTGGCGCACGTCTTCGTCTTCCAAGGAGCCATGGGCCTGGACGGCTGAAGAGGACGAGCGCTTTATCCATGGATCTGGGTGAACTATAATATTTCACCAGCCTGAAATAAGGTGGTTTGGGGGGCTATTCCCAACATAAACCACCATTTGGGGTGAATTCGGTCACGTGAGGTCGTTATAATTCACCCAAATGGATACAAACACAACCTCAGCTCAGGCCTTCCCCGAAATAAGACGAAGCTTAAGGCTGTTGGGTCGAATTTGGAGGTGTGTTTTGGGTTTTTGTGGGGGACCCGGAACCCTGTAGCGAAAATGATTCACCCGGAACCATGCAAAGAACTCGAAAGGCGGATATCCGCAACTCTCAACTCATTCTGGCTGGGGCTTTCCCTTACTTAACCTTCACTTGCCCGGGTTTTGATTGTGATTCACCTAAACTCAAGCCTTCCCCTAAATAAGACTAAGTTTTTAGGCCGTTGGGTCGAATTTTGAGGTGCTGTTCTTTTTTGGTGGGGGGAGGGGAGGAGCTCAAACCAGCAGACCGACAAAACCAAGCCCGAAGTGTGTGCGTGTGCTTTTGGAGGGTATTCCATGTCTCAGTCTAAGGTTTGAATATATGACAACCCCCCCTGCTCCTCCCTCCGTTTCCTCAGAATAAGTAGGACCTGAAGGCCGTTGGGTCTTCTGTTTGCGGGAAAAAAAGAAGAGGGAAGAGGGTTGTTAGCTTTTCTTTGACCTCGTTGTTTTTTTTTCTTTGTTGAAGATGCGGGGGGGGTGAGGGGTGGGAAGGGGACTGTGGCCAAAATCCGCCGAGGCGCGTCCAAAAGCCAGAGGTCGGGATTCGTGCAGTACAGGTCGCAGGACGAATTATGCATCGGCCCTGATGGCCGCACGTCTAAATCTTCCTCAGATGCTGCCTCAGTTGCAGCCATCCGAAAAAAAAAGAAGCCAGGGCAAGTGGCTCGGAACCTCAAACTTGCCCACTTGGGAGAAATCTTGCCAAAAAGGTATCCCATGTTGGGTCCAAATGCTCCTACCCCCCCCCCCCCCCCGGCCGAACATGACCTGAACAAGGAACGTTCCCTTTGCCCCCCCAGCAAAAGGAAACCCAAGCAGGCAACCACCTCAGGGAAGTCTCGTGAAACGCCCGCGCTCGCTTGCAGCGCCCCGGTGTTATGTGGGGAAACCGAACAACCTCAACCAGGGGGCGGGGGGATGGGGCGGGGGGGGCAAAAGGCACTAATCCCAACGTGTCAAGGTGCTTTTTTAAGGGGGACACTTGCTGGAACCTCAAGACAGTTAGAACCCTTGAACAATCACCCTAGGAGCCATCAAGTTGGAACTCAGCAAGCCCCGCACGAATTAAAATGGACCCGTTCGACGTTCGTGGGTCCTGGACGACGATTTTCCTTTAAAGGGACCCCCAGGCAGGTTTCATGTTTATGGGTGGGAGGGTAAACCCCCACAAGGAGGACATCTGGTAAAAGCCCTCAAACAACACGTCAACTGCAAGTCCGCGAAACTCACATCAGAAATGGATTGGAAAAGCAAAACAAACGTGTTGCCTTTGCCGCGAAAATGGCCTTCTCAAAAAGTATGGAGTTCAGCATCTTAAGAAGTGAGGACTTGAAGAATTCCCATCTGAGCATTGTTTTTTTCGAGGTTCAGGGCTAAAATCCATCATCTGAGAAGAAAGAAAAAAAACACGCCGCTCATTTGGAAGACCACGCCATCCCCTTCACCCAAACTTCACGTAAATCGCGCCTACTAGAACCCGAATCGACTCCAAACCCTAGGTCCATTTGCAACCAAAACCCCAAGCATTTGCAACCAAAACCCCAAGCTTCCCGGTATGAACCCCGGCTCGAGCTTGGCGTCTTCGGAACAAGCCGTTTGGTTTGGAACACCCCATGGCAACACCAAGTGATAAGACATCTCTACGCTTGGTATGGGCTGGCAAAAAACTGAAACTGTTTTTTTTGCAGACCCGCGGTAAACATGAACAGAACCAAAAAAAACAACCTGATCCAAGACCAGTGAAGCTTATGTTCAAGTTCAAGTTCCAGGCGCATCGAGGCTTTCACTGCGCTGAAATGCCCTGCTTACCACCCTGAAGTTGGAACGCCTACATAGCACTACACACGCCCATAGCACTACGCCCGTGTCAAACTCAATTTGGAAGGCTGGCAGATCGTGAAAGGCGAAAAGGGGACCTGGCAAAAAACAAACTGATTCGAAAGGCGCAAGTGACAGGATTGCCTGGAATTCCCATTCTGGTTTTGGACACACTTGGGGAGATTCCCTCATGTGAGGTGGTAAGACAAATTTCGGGAATGAGTGTTGAGGATAAGCCTTGGCTCCCTTGAACAAAGCCCATGGCCTGGTTGTCTGGCTTCCCTTTTGGAAGAGAATCACCAAACAAAGATGGGGCCAACAAAAACGCACGCCTCTTGTATGAAGACTCCATAATATGCTGTTCTCCCCCGGTGTTTAGTCACAAGTTGACATCCTACCTACAAACCAGTAGTGGGTGTATGGAGTGGGAAGTCTGGCACTGGTTCTTAGCTCGGCCCACTCCGCCGTGCAAAAAAAACCACTTATTGTCAGGGCAAGTCGAGACTGCAACTTGGGCATGTGTCAACATAGGGGCTCCCCAAAAATGTTGGCTGTTTTCCCTTTCAAACCCTGAAAGGGGTAGCCTCAGAAAAGCAAACCAAACAACCTCATGTCCATGGTAGTGACAATTGGCAGAAACTTCGGGCCACTCCCATGATTTGTCGAAGAAAGGCCCACCCACCCCCGCCAAACAACCACCACCCGCCCACCGCCCGCCCGCCCACCTCCCACCCACTCGCCCACCACCCACCCACCCGCCCACCACCCACCCACCCTGCCACACCCGTTCATAAGCGCGGGAATGCTTGGAATCGACTCGGATTTCGCGCAGCAACTGGTGCTTCTTGATCCTCTTAATCCGTTCCTCCTATTAATAAAGGTCTCCCTAATAATAAATGATTGCTTCCAAAGTTCCAAATCCGGGAATACTACTTTTAGAATAGCCAATACCAAGCCAACTCTGAAGTGTATATTTTCCTGACCGTGCTCAAATCCAGCCCCATTAGGAGTACGTTTCCTTTACTACGGCTGTACTACAAAGTTGCGACTTTCGAGCCGGGGCTCCGGGAGTACTTTTTTGTTGTTCTCTTTCTCTTTCTCTTTCTCTTTCTCTCTCTCTCTCTCTTTCTCTTTCTCTCTCACTCTCTCTTTCTCACTCTCTCACTCTCTCATTCATCACTGAGCCGTACTCACCCGGCCTCCCAGATCCTCGATCAGTTCGTCAAGCTACAATAATGCGCCCCACTTCCTCAGGATCCTTCGTGTCATCGTTGGACCCGGGCCCGCCCACCAGCCACCCACCCCACCACCCACCCACCGCCCGCCCCACCACCCGCCGCCCACCCACACACCCCACCCACCCCACCACCCATCCACCCCACCACCCAACCCACCCCACCTCCAAAGCTGAGGGATAACCCCCCTCCCAAGCTTCCGCTTGATGGTCTTGACTCCTTGGCTTAATCTGGAGGTTGATTCATGTGGGGTCCAGTTTGGATTCGTCTCCTAGTTCGCCCCAGTGGCCAGGCCCATGGCGCCCAGCAAGGTGGTCTTGCCACAGCCGCTGGCCGCGTCTGTGCCCACGCTCCTCAGATTGGACGGGGAAGCCCGCGGTTGGTGTGCCTCCTTTCTTTTCTGGGTTGAAGCCGGAAGAAGTCTAAACTTGTTTTGTATTTCTAAAGTTGCCAAGAAGTGTTGAAACCCAGGAACTTGGAAAGTGAGCAAACAAGGGGGGGTGCCCCATTCAGGGCTTGGGGGTTTCGGGTTTGCGGTTGTTGGCAACCAATGGAACCTCAAAGTGCACTCATTTACCTCGCGAGTGGTGGGGTCATCACAACTTCCCATGCTGCAGTGTCCCCAACAAAAAAGGCACCGACTCCGAAGAACAAACACACCCACTAAACCAAAGAAAAACTGGGTATCACCCAAGGGACAAACACACATCTTACAAGTACTTGAATGACCGCCCCGTGCAGTATGTGGTTGAAACCCCTTAGGCAAGGGCAGTCTCCACTTACCAAATGAAACAAGTCGTCCTCCCAACAAGAAATCTGAGGAGAAATTGATAGGGGAGGGGGCTGTCCCTGAATAAGCCTAGTATAAGCCGTTGAAAAGGTGAGTGCCCCCCTCCCAATACCCCCTTCGAGGTCCACGAAGAAAGCGGTTGTGAGGGATTCTCAAACTTTACCTTGGGGTCCCGCCTTTCCGGTTTCCCTTTAAGCCGCCGTTTAGAGGGCTTTTTGAGTTGATAGCCCCCTTGGAGTTCCAAGACATTGTGTTCCGTTACGAGATCTATACAGGCCTTGATACATCCCCCAGAGCGGTCCCCAAACCTACATGCCCTTTTGTTCATTGCCATAGTGGCTCTCTACCCACTCAACCCCTTCAACCCAGGGTGGTCTGGAGGTAGCGGAAGCCATCTTCGAACTTGGGGGATTTCAAACGCAATCCTTCCAAGACTCACCAGCACCACTCGCTTCTCCCGCGGCACGCAGGCCAACTCCTGCAGTAGCTCGAAAGCAGCGCGTGGCCTCCGCGCTCGCGCATTGCGAGCGATGCACCGCTCGCTGACCCGATCCCCCCCACTGCCCGCAAGCCAGGGGACAACACAGAATCAGGGTTGAGAAAAAGAGCCAGGCGATGAAATTGCAGCCAACCAACCTCTAGCAACGTTTTGGTTCTCATCACCTTGCCATGGCTCCCCTTGCAGGTTTGCTCTCAAATGTTGAATCGACCTATTGTGGCGACCAGCTGTATATAAGTATTGCATCTTCCATAAACCTCATATGATACTCTTTAATACCCTGTCATAGCGAGAGAGTGGCTGTATATATTCACCATCTTGAACCCACCTGGAGTCTCCATGGTCCTTTAAAAATGGGGTCATGACCCCATTATTTTGGGTAGTGACCTCATTTCAAAGGGGTCATGGAGACTCCAGGCAGTTGGAAACAACAACTCACACGGAGAGGAGAAGCTCTTGGGGTTGACCATTCTGGGTTTCCATGCGCCAGGCGGCGTCCATGTTGAGGTGGAGCAGCACCGCTGGTTGACTTGCCACACGGGGCCATGTATGGGTCTAGATTGGAACTTACCGCGTTGGTTGGAACATTTAAGTACCCTAAGGGTCAAAATTGATTTTGGACCCTTAAAATGGGTTGTTTTGGAGGGTCCTTCAGGGGTCGGGGTTCTGCATTGGAGGGCCCAGGGGTGTGCATTGGAGGGGGCATGACCCTTAGGGTATAACCATTCCCAAAGATCCGATCGAACAGCCAAGGGTTTTCCTGGAAAAAAGTCGAAGAACCAAAGACGAGCAAAGATTCGATCGAACAGCCAAGGGGCGTCCGATTTCCCGGAAATTGAATCAAAGATGCAAAGACGGACGAGCTGATGGAACTGCCAAAACTGCCAAGGTACCCAAACGGAAACCAAAGGGAACCCCTCCACCCATTCCACCCATCCTAGAAAACAACTCAAGGCAACCACGCGGACAAAATCGGGCTGGCAGATAGAAGGTCCCAACTCGGCTCAAAAAGTGGGCCCGTTTTGCGGTATCCTGGGGTTTAGATCCCGATGTCATCTAACTCGCCCGGCCTGGCAGTCTTGAGCCCGGACTGGGGAGCCTCCGGGTGGCGGAAGACCAGGGGCAGGGGCACCTGGCGTTTTCGGCGGCGGTTTGGGGCCTCGGAGGCGGTGTCATGGTTGACCAGAAGGAAAAACCCTCCATTTGGGAGGGGAAGGGGGGGTTCCTCCCCCCAAAAGACATATATGAATCAACCAGGGGCGGCTGTGTGGTGGGGGAAATCCTAAGCTAAAAGTAAGCCTCTGAGCCATTAAGGGTGTAAACAATGACCCATCCCCTTTTATGGTCTCCTGAGCAGACCAAACTTTCTGCGTTACTCAATGTTAAGTTTGGATGAATCCAAGCTGAATCCAAATGTTAATTTGCAGTCGAGCACGCATTATGTGCTTCCCCATTTGCAAGGGGCCTGGCCCCTGATTATGGCCCTCCAGACTAATTGAGAAGTTGATACGTGCCATGGTCAAAATTTCTTCGGCCAGAATCATAATGCTTACCCTGGCTGTCTCAAATCCCTATAGGGTTGATGACAAACCTACCAAACCCAAGCTAAGGAGCTGGTGAAAAGGAAAACCAGAAGGAAGCCAACCATATTTGGGAGGCCTGGCACCGGGACCCCCGATTTTTCCGGGGTCCCCACACACCATGGACCCAAAAAACCATGGACCTCCCGCCCCCGGTTTTGGAGGCTTGAGCCCGCTCGCCAGAGCCAGGTGGGAGGTTTCCCCTCGCCTTGAGGGCCTGGTAGGCCGTGGCCAGTCGGATGCGCTTCCTGCGGCCGGGGGTGATGAGCAGCAGCGAGATGAAGAGGTCCTCGCGGGGGTGATGGGCGCGGGGGAATGGTGGGCGCGGGGGGGAATGGCGGGGGTGATGGGCGCGGAGGTTGGGGGGGGGGAGGGGAGGTGAGGGGGGAGGGGAGGGGAGGTGTTTTACTCTTCCGGCCGGTTCGGCGGCTGGAGGGAGAGCGGAAATGGCGTGAAGACTCAAAAAGAAACCAAAGGAATCCACATGAAATGACGGAAGACCAAAGGAAAGGGACTCCGAGTTGGGCAAGGAAAACCCAAGGAGAAAAGGAGACCCTGAAAGAAACCAGACTTAAACCCATGCCCCGGAAACAGAAAACCAAACCTCCAGTTGCTGAAGCGCCCTGGAAAGAACAATAATGCCCTCCAAAACCTGCGGGGAAACAGGAAACATATTCTTATGCAAATGCAAGCAAACCTGCGAATTTAGGGCGGGGTAGAAGGCTTACGAGACTGGTTCGGAGGCATAGAGGAATTAGTAAGGTTCCTTTCATAGGTGTGTCTTTCTTGAGGGATCCTTCATGGTTTCCTCTTCAGGGGACCAAACCCCGGGATCATTCCATTTCTGCAAGAAAAGAGGTCCACGCCCCCAACAAAAAAAAACTCCTTTGCCCCCACCTACCCCCCTTAAGCTTAAAGGGCTTCTCTTGCAGGGGAGGCTTAGGAAGCCTTGCAGGGGAGTGGGGAAGGGGTATGGGGGAACAGGCATTCATAGCCTCTATTTCCTACCTACACCAGCAAGAACAGAGCTCCACCCAAAGAAGCAAACGAGAAAAAAAAAGGAACAAGACACCCTCATCGCCTCCCTTGGCCTCACGGCCGGGTCTTAGGGGGGAGGGGCCCAGAAAGTCGAGGCCCCTCCTCGCCTCTCTCAGCTCATCCGCCGCTCGGGTCCGTCGGACGTCCGACGAGGTCTCCGATATGTGTGTGCTTCTGTTTCTTTGAGGGTTCCCCTTTTGACCTTGACCAATTTGGCATAATTTGGCCATTTGTACCTGGTTGCTGTTGCCCCCCCCTGCACAAAGTTTGACTTCTTCGGGGCTTAGTGGAAACCCCAACTTGATTTCAACCAAAAGTTAAAGTCTAAAGATCCAACCCAATAGCAGTCAGGTGTGGGGTCCCCTTTTTGACACGTCTCCCGTCCTTGGCCGTCATCTCCGAGAGGAAGCGCGGCAAAGTCTCCTCCGCGTCCGCCACCGAGGCCAGCAGATCCACGAAGCCCCGGAAGCCTCGCTTCGAGCGCTGGAAGAAACCGGAGCCGTGCAGGTGAAACCCATTTGGCTGTGGGTCAAAGCCAATGGGATCCCATTTCGGTTGGTAGGTGAATTCACCACTTTTAGAACCTATCTTAGTGGTTGGATTGACTCGGATGTGCGCAGGGGGCTAACCGATTTGGCTTTGGATTTTGAGCCATGGCCATGGGGACGGGTGCTTGGACTTCAAGCCCCGAGTTCTAGATCCAAGGCGCCCCTGGGGTTGGGATGGGTGGGATTTCAAACCCCTAGCTCTAGATGATTCCAACAAGAAGGAAAGCCCTGAGCTGCCAAACCAGCAAACCAAAGCAAACCAAAGCAGGGTGAAGCTGAATGTGTGCAATCAAAAACCCAAAATGCTACATCGTTTTGAGAAAGCTTGGGGAACATCAGACACCGGTTTGCCTGTCGCTTGACTAAAAGTAGTAGAGCCCCAGTGATTGGTGCCGTAAAACCAGACAAACTTGCAGGGAATGAGGGAATTACTCTTATATGATCATAATCCATCATGTGGTTTCCTTTAAGGGGACCCCTGGGTTCATGCCCAATGACCCTCATAATCCATCATAGTGGTTTCCTTCAAGGAGACCCTTGTGCCCACATTCCCCACTGAGCAAAGAAAACAACAAACCACATGTCCCACTGGACTGCAGTGGTTTTGCTTGCCGTTGCCTTGGCGCCGGATCAGCAGATCTTCCAGGTACGGCTGGATCTCCTTGGCTCTTCCAGTGGCCAGAGCAAACCACACAAAACGAAGCTGGACATCATGGTGGCTGGGGGGGGAGGGTGCCCAAATAAGCCCTTGTTAAGCCCTTAATAAGGCCTTATTTAGGGTCCTTTGCGCTCTCCCCCTCCCCTCCCTCCCCCCCAGGCCCCATGAGGACACTGCCACTGGACTCTTAAACAATACCGATCCCACAAGAGTGGGGCATCCCGTTGTTACAGAGAAGGCAAGACTTGTAAGGTCCAAGACGGGTTGTTTCTTGAATCCTGTAAACAAATCGAGCGTTCCCACCTGGCCACACCAAAAGACATGGCAAAACGGGAGACTGCCGAGTCTCATAGGTCAGGCCGCGGGCCTCTTTCATCTCTTCCAGGCTTCTAGCCACCAGCGCCTTTCGCACGCGAAACCCAAAATCATGGGACCCCCGACCATTTCTACTCCTCTGCTCAAAACACCCAGACATATACAGTTCATTTTTTGGGGCCATGACTACCCAGAAATCGGTTCACCTTTGGGGGCCCTAAAAACCAGAAATTTGTTCGGCTCAGCTCATGACGAAAAATGAGATCCCATGAGAAAACCAAAAGGTGAAAAGGTCGATTCGCTTTTGGGCAAGCGAGACTCCGCTTCCCTCGAATTGGTGGTTTGGTGCTTGCACGTTATGGGGTACCGTTGCCATGTGTCAATAGGAACTTGGGGTTTAATTCCCCAAACCACCAATCCAAACCACCGACTAAGGGTTACCTGACCTACTGTGACCTACCGGCCATCCAAAAGTAATTTTGAGAATCCTGGACATGTTTAATTCAGGGGATCCGTACTAACTCACTTAATGGATTGGACACAACAACAGTCTTGGTGATTGCCACTGAAATGGGGATGGTCCAAACCCGAAAAGTACAAAGTCCAGGACTCATCAATTCCATTGACTCAGGCAGTGAGTCAATGGTGTCATGAATGACGGCTTTTCTGCTCCCACATCTGGGGCACTAAAATGATATGTCCATTAAGTGAGTTAGTACAGATCCCCTGAATTAAACATTGCCAGGATTCTGAAAATTACTTGTGGATGGCCGGTAGGTCAGTGTTTCATATCTCGTCCATCCTGAAGCAAAACGCTGGAAACGACCCAGGTCTTGAGGGCTTAATGATACCCCCCGCCCCAACTCACGCAATCCAAGTAGAACCACCAGAAATATAAAAGGGCAACATGCCTTGAAATCTGCACACACACACACACCATACTGCAAATTGCTGGGTAGTAAGAAACGCAATACCAACACACAAATCAACCATCCTACCTTGGTTGGTTTTTGTTGAAACCTGCAATTTTCATATGGTTGTATCCTTTGCCCACGCCAGAAACTGGGCCACTGGAGGGATCCACGCCTGCAGCTTGTCTCGAGACAGCTCCGCGAGGCAGATATTGCCCGGCTCCAGCGCTTGCGTGGCTTCGTCCGGGTTCTGCTGGCAGCTGCTTCCCAGCATCACCTGCATAGATCGAGCCATTCGCCGGCAAACCATATCCCTTGATGTGCACAATTGAGGGGTTCTCAAAATGTCACTTCGGGGTCGCTCCTTTTGCCGCCGTTTGAAGATGTAAAGGACCCAGGCCAAGGGTGAAGGACTGGCAACAAGAGGACAATGCAAACTTGAGAAATGAGGCCTAGAACCCCCCCCCCCCCCGAAAAGTCAACTCCCCTTCATATGTGTCCATAGCACCATCAGGTAGCATGTAGTCTAGCGTGTCACATGAAACTTACCATGCAACATACAACCTACCAAATGCCATATACCCGAACACGCAACGTATAGCATTAGTTGTGACGCGTAACATGTACGTAACAGATAACCCGTACCCTAACACGTAACATATAACCAAACACTATGACATACAATCTATGATATAACACATAATATGAAACATAGCATATAACCTAACACATACAACCAAGCAAATCATACATAACTACCACATAACATACAACAGCACATAGACACCATATAATCTAAGACGAAATAAAACGAAAAACATACGCCGTCATATCTTGAATACCTCAACACATGACGTGAAACACGACGTGACACATATATCATAACATACGAGTAATAACCTAACATAAACACGTAACACGCCACATGGCACACAACCCAACATATAGCAAACATGTAGCACGCAACATGTACCCCAACACAAAGCATGTGCCCTTAACAAATAACAACCAAAGTAAAATACAGCATAATATGGCCTACCATGTAGCAACAAGGTATCAGATAACCTTTAACATAATAAAAAGTCATATAAGCCAACGCATAAGCTATATCATAGCATGTGCCATAAAGCCTAACATGCAACATAAATAACTAACATGAACATCTAACCTAGCACACAACATTTGACCTAACACACAACATATAACCGAACATTGAACATACACCCTAACATATAAAACAGAACCTAGCGCAAGCCATAAAGCCTCGAATGAAAAACATATCGCCTAACAAAGAACATGCAACCTAGCAAATACAGCATGTAACCCAAGCATATGTCCTGACACATATCGTATAACACACCATACACGAAACCCGCGCAATTCACATGGACACGGCTCTGACAGGGCATCCCTTAAAAAGGGAAAATGTGTTCCAGCACCACCCGTGTCAGGTTCATACAATATATAACCTAGGACTTAACATATAGCCGTTATAGCCTGACAACAGCAAACACCGTTAGATATATATATATATATTATACATATCATTTCTATTATATCATGCATTAAATTTAGCGCAACCGTATACCCCCACAAATAACAAATGCCGTAACACGTAACATAAAATATGGCATATGACATGAAACTGAACGTGCAAACATACACTCTACACATACAACCTGTAACCTAACAAACAACAAACAGCCGAACGTTCAAACAACTTACACCGTAACACACAACATACAATCTAACACACGGCATGTAACGTAACACACAGCATGCGTTCTAACACATAACATACCTTCAACAACTTAAAACAAAAACAACATATAACCTAGCACGTAGCAGACAACCCAACGCGTAACATAAAAACTAACAAAACAAATATCGTAACATAACATATACATGAACACATGACACATAGTATGCCATTTAACATATGAGCTAGCGTGTAGCATAATTCAAAACATAAATTCAAAACTAAGCATGTAGCATACAACCTAACACATAAATCATAACCTTTCATATGATACATCACTGACCACATAACATATAACCGAATTTGACTTGACATATAACACACATACCATGGAATGACATACAACATACGGTATAACAAAATACTAAGGCATATTCAACATAGAACGTGATACATAACACATGACCTAACAAATTGCACAACCTACTGCAACAAAAACTGTCCATAACAACAAAACAAACTAACTAACATTTACCATAAACCTACCGTGTAACATGCAACCTGACATACAAAATGCAACCTAACATGTGACACACAACCTAACACATAACCTAACACATAACACATAACACAACATGTAACATGTACCCTACCGTATAACATGTAACCAAACATAACATACAACCTATCGTATTGATGAAACCCGACATATAACATATAAATATGTCGTTTCACAGATACCCTGCCATTTTACATAAGATACCATGTAGCATACAACCTGTCGTATTGCATAGAACCTAACAGAAAACACAAAGACTAACAAATACCATATACCCGAACATAGAACACATAACCAACCGTAAAACATATAGCCTAACATATAACCTACAACCGAGCACATAACATATGCTTGAAGGAGACATCATGGCTGGTGCGCTGTGGCATTTGTTCAACCCAGCAGCTGGACAAACCTGGTGGTTGATTTCCACTAGGGGAACTTTGGGTTGAAGTGTACCTGAGGTTCTCAACAAAAACGAATCAATCAAGACAATCCAACTTTAGCATGAGGTATTACTCCAGACAATAGACAAACAGACACCCTAACTAAGAAGATTTCAAGCAAGAAATGCCAACCATCATAGCAGGGTGGAACTTTTGAAATGGTTGGTATCCTTTCGGTGTCCCAGAGAGGAAAAATGGCTGTGGCTCAAAAAACCGGTGCCAAAATGGAACTCTGGTAAGTGGAAACATGGACCGAAGCCTGCGTAACCCCTCCTGTTAAATTTTGAGCCACACCCAACTGAACAAACCAAAGCCAACAAAATAAAGAAAGCAAGAAAGAAAGAAAGAAAGAAATGAAGGAAGGAAGGAAGGAAGGCAGGAAGGGAGAAGAGGAGGAAAAAGAAGGGATCTCCTCGGTTGTTGTTTTCGTGGGGGCCAGCAGGCAACCCAATTTTGGTCCCACACGCCTCGCAGAACTCGCAGAAGCCGCGGTCCAGGCTGCCACCGCTGCGCCACATCTGGAGGCCATGGGGCCTCACGACATGAGCTTTATGGCCGGTTGGACCTCCTGCAATACGTTGAACCCATGAAAACCCATTGGTTGTGGGTGTTTACAGGGGAAGCATCCTTAGGTCCTCCAGATTTGAGAGGTTAGAATAATTGGGTACCCACTTTTTTCGGTTTTGTCCATTTTAACCCTCCCCAAAAAAGGGGTGAGAAAGGGCACTACTGGGGGACCTAGCATGGTGTTTACAGGGGAAGCATCATTCCCTTGGACTTCTTCGGCGGTGCAGGATTTTTATCCATCCACGGCCGCGGATGGACGAAATCCATCCAACGCACCACCTAAGAAACCCTGGTTTCTTTTGACTCTCCTGTAAATACCAATCGTTTCAACCATGGTTTCAAAGTGGTTCAGGATCTTGTCCATCCACAGTGGGTGTGCTTTTGGTTGCGCTCCAAAATAGATGGCTGGAAGATACTGAACCACCAGGATTTGCCCTATGTTCTTGGGTTTTCAGGGTGCCACTGCTGACTTCCGATCGAGTGGATGGCATTGCGGCATACAAGTCTAAAGTTCAGGACCCAGAAAGTGAGATTTTGAGGAATTGGTTACAGGGAAACCAAAGGACGATCGGCCCGGAGTAGGAAAACAAACCGCCACCTATCCATGCACCGAGAGAAAATGGACCACTTGAAACCGATCTGGTGCAATTTGTCGCACTTCTGTGTGTGGGTGTGTATGTTTGTGCGTGTGGGGTTGTTTGTGTGTTGGTTTGTTTGTGCGTTTGTGCGTGTATATGTGTATGCTTGATCGTGGGTGAGTGTTTGTGCATCTGTGTGTGTGGGTGCGTCTGTTTGCGTGTGTGTGTGTGCGCGTGTGTGTGTGTGTGTGTGTGCGTGTGTGTGGGTGTGTGTGTGTGGGTGCGTGTGGGTGCGCGTGTGTGTGTGTGTGTGTGTGTGTGTGTGTGTGTGTGTGTGTGTGTGTGTGTGTGTGTGTGTGTGTGTGTGTGTGTGTGTGTGTGTGTGTGTGTGTCTGTGTGTGTGTGGGTGTGGGTGTGGGTGTGGGTGTGCGTGTGCGTGTGCGTGGGCGTGCGCGTGCGAGTGTGCCTGTGCGCGTGTGCGTGTGCGTGTGCGTGTGGGTGTGGGTGTGTGGCTGTGTCTCTGTCTGTGTCTGTGTCTGTGTCTGTGTCTGTGTCTGTGTCTGTGTCTGTGTCTGTGACTGTGTCTGTGTCTGTGTCTGTGTCTGTGTCTGTGTCTGTGTCTGTGTCTGTGTGTGTGTGTCTGTGTCTGTGTCTGTGTCTGTGTCTGTGTGTGGGCGCGTGCGTGGGTGCGTGGGTGCGTGGGTGCGTGGTGCGTGCGTGCGTGCGTGCGTGCGTGCGCGTGCGCGCGTGAGCGCGTGCGTGCGTGCGTGCGTGCGTGCGTGCGTGCGTGCGTGCGTGCGTGCGTGCGTGCGTGCGTGCGTGCGTGCGTGCGTGCGTGCGGGCGGGCGTGGGTGGGTGTGTGTGTGTGTGTGTGTGCGTGTGTGCATGTGTGCGTGTGTATGCGTGTCTGCGTGTGCGCGTGTGTGCTGCGTGCGTCTGTGTGCGTGTGTGCGTGTGTGTGCGTGTGTGCGTGCGCGTGTGCGCGTGTGCGTGTGCGCGTGTGTTTGTGTGTGTGTGTGTGTGGGTGCGTGCGTGTGCGTGCCTGCGTGCGTGCGTGTGTGCGTGTGCGCGTGTACGCGTGTGCGCGTGTGTGCGTGTGTGCGTGTCTGCGTGTCTGCGTGTCTGTGTCTGTGTCTCTGTGTGTGTGTTTTTGTGCGTGTGTATGTGCGTGTCTGTTTGCGTGTGCGTGTGTGTGTGTGTGTGTGCGCGTGCGTGTGTGCGTGTGCGCGTGGGTGTGCGTGCGTGCGTGCGTGCGTGCGTGCGTGCGTGCGTGCGTGCGTGCGCGCGCGCGCGGGTGGGTGGGTGGGTGGGTGGGTGTGTGTGTGTGTGTGTGTGTGTCTGCGTGTCTGTGTGTCTGTGTGTCTGTGTGTCTGTGTGTCTGTGTGTGTTCGTCTCTTGTGGTTTGTGCTTTGCGGTGTGTGCTTTGTGTGTTGTGTTGTGTTTCGTGTTTTGTGTTGCGTGTTGCGTGCTGTGCTATGTGGTGTGTGTGTGTGGGTGTGTTTGTGTGTGTGTGTTGGTGTCTGTGTGTGGGTGTGTGTGGTGTGCTTGTGTCCTTGTGTGTCTGTCGCGCTTGGTTTGAGGGAACCGCTTCCCCAAAAAAGTGGAGGGTACCACTTGAACAAGACCCAAGGCCAAACACCCGAAGACCAAGGGCAACGTTGATTAACACACAAATGCTTACAATGAGGGTTGAACACGATCTGCACATATGTATTCATTAAAAACAACTACACCAGCATAGACCCCAGATAGCACACCACGGCTACGAACCATGACGCAGCATTATCATGATGATGTAGACAGCACCATGATGATACCACAGCCACTGAGCATGGTGCGCTACAAACGCGCATACAACGTCCTAATGAGTTTTTTTTTCCCCCGCGCCTTTTTCCGTCTGCTCCTGCAGGCCACTTATATACCGGCGGCCCCCGGATGTGCTTAGGGGGCATTAAGGGGGCAGCCATTTGTATACCGGCGGCTCCCGGCTGTGCGGCTCACCGGCTGGGCAAGCGGGATGCGCCCGCCAGTGGCACGTGGGCAAGATCAGCCAGCAAGGTGCCGAGGGGAGGCAGGGTGCCACCCCCGGCATTGGAAAGCTCCGGCCCGGCAGCCTGCCTGAAAAGGGACGAAGCAAAGGCTGTCATGGCTGCATGGGTCAGCTGGGCCGACCACCTGGCAACAAGAGCGCTGACAACACTGGGGCGCAGCCGAGCTGGCGCTTCAAGTGCCCGGGCGCGGGCCAAGGACCGGATGAAGGAGGCGGCCTCATCACTCCACCGCCCGCCAACCTCGACTGCAAGCACGACCAACCGGCATCTGTGCGCCGGCACGAGCTCTGGGTAGGCCCGCTCTTTGCGACGGCGCGCCACGGCGAGGGCAGCACCAGCGACTTGACCCCCGCGCCGAACGGGCTGGCCCTGGCCTGACAAGGGCGAGACAAGGGTTGTGTCCACTGCAAGTTGCTGGCCCCCTCACAGTGGGAGGCCATTGGCCACGACCTCCAGCCGACTATCGTCGACCCGGTCAACTTGAAGGTTCAAGTCCGCAAGGCGTGTGTTGGAGGTGACTCTGGCTCCAGCTTCTCTGCAAACGCGTGCGGCCGCACGCTCCAGCGGACACCCGCGCCCCCGGAGCACACCTGACCGGGCGCAGGCTGCACGATGGTCGCCGAAGGGGTCCAGAAGGCGACGGCACCGGCAGGTGCGCTCAGCAAGAGGCAAGGGGAGGCGCAGGCGGCGCAGGAGGAGAACACGGAAGAGATGGCAGGGACAGGACAAAACTGATGAGACTGGCACTGTAGTGAGGAAACGGCTAGCGAAAGGCCCGGACTGGGAGTGCAAGAGCGCTTGGGCAGCAGGATCGGCGCCTGCCAGCAAGCTCACGATTGGCTTTCCAGGAAGCCTGCTCTCCCTTTCAGTTTGCCTTGTCCACGCGATCTGGTGCGGAGAGTGTTGTTCGTTTGCTGACGGCCGCCCTCGAGCTTGATCCTGAAAGCACTCTTGTCTCCGTTGATGGGGTCGGTGCGTTTGACACCATGAGCCGCCAAGCGATGCTGCAGGGGCTTCTCCGTGTCCCAGGGGCGAACCAGTGCCTCCCCTTTGTGCGCATGTTTTATTCGGAGCCATCCGAATGTGTGGCATGACGCGGACGGGACTGCACACATCATACAGCAAGCGGAAGGGGGGGAGCAGGGTGATCCCTTGATGCCCGCTCTCTACTCCCTCGGCCAGCACGGAGCCTTGGAAGCAGCGCACGCTCAAATGCAGCCCAACGAGTTGCTCGTGGCCTTCCTTGACGATGTGATCACCATTGCCCGGCCGGACCGAGTGGGCCTTGCTCACCAGCACCTTGCAGATGAGCTCTGGGCCCACTGCCGAGTGCGTCTCAACAGTGGCAAGACACGCATTTGGAACTTGTCCGGAAGGGGCGCCGGAGGCCTCCTGTTGGGTTGGTGCCGGCGGCCGGCCAGTTGAAGAACAAGGGCTCACAGTGCTCGGTGTCCCTATCGGGTCGGCGGCCTTTGTGCGTTCCCAGCTTCTCCAGTCCCGTGCGGGGCATGACCGGTTGCTGGAGCGTCTGCCGGCACCAGGTGATTTGCAGGCTTCTTGGTTGCTCCTTCTCTTTTGCTGCGGTCCGCGTTGCAACTATTTGCTTCGCATGCTCGCCCCGGCGACCACTGCCGAGTATGCGCAAGACCATGATTCAGCCGTGCTGTCTGCCCTTTCCACTTTGCTTGGCACAGGCAACCTGCCGCGACACGCCCGTGACGTTGCCCAGTTGCCCCTGTCCCTTGGCGGCCTTGGCCTCGCCTCTGCTGTTCGCAATTCCGTGCCGGCTTTTTGGGCTTCCTGGGCTGACTGCTTGGCTGTTTTGAGTCGCCGCTTGCCTCGTGTTGCGCAAGAGTTTCTTGACCACCTCGACAGCCCCGACCCACAGCCAGCTTGCTTTGCGGCGGCTGCCGCAGCACGTGCAGCACTCGGCCACTCCGACTGGGCTCCCCCGGCGTGGCGGAAGCTGTCTGCTGGTGAGAGCGCGCCCGTGGTGCAGGAGGAGGGGCCTTCCACCTTCCTTCGTGGCTGGCAGGGCCAAGCTGCAGCCGCCGAGGCCCGTCGGCACCGCGCAACCAAACGGCGGGTGAAGTCGCCGATCACGATGCCCCGGACTCGGCCGTTTGGTTTCTGAAGAGCGACCATGCGCCCGAGGCCGAGTGCCCTTGCCGCATCTCTGGGCACCGCCGCCTGCGCAACGAGTTGCGTCACGCGGACGAAGAGATCAGAAGCCCCCTCATCGTCAAGGAGCACACGAGCGACCTCAGCCGTGAGGCCCGAGGGTCCGGCAGCTGCCTTTCGTGCGCGCTGGAGGTTTGAAAGCACCAATTCAGGGAGGAGGTGGACCTGGTCAGGTTGGAAATCCAACACCTCGTGGGAAAGCGCCTCATACGGCTCGGCTGGGCGCCGGTCGGGATCACGAAGCTCCTGCAAAGTCTCGGGGGTGCCTGGGGCCAGCGCGCTAGACGTCAGCGCCTGTCGTGCCGCGGACAGTTCTCCAAGGTGCACAAGGTGGGGCACCGGTGGCTGAAGTGGCTGGGCTTCTTCCAGGAGTTGGGTCCACCGCCCCTCATTAAACGCCGCGAGGCGTGCAATCCACTCATGCTTGGGCAGCTTCCGAACACCAGGGCTGCGATGCAACAGCATGCGTGGCAACAAGAACCACAGCTTCCAGGCTCGCATGGATCGCTCCTCGTGGGCTCCCGCGTCGAGGATGGCTGACAAAGCAAAGGCCAGGGCGTGACGCACGGGACCGCGGACAAAAGGGGGAACGAACTGGAAAGTGCAAGCACGGCGCTGGAGTGTCTGGAGCAAATCCACTGAGTCAAGTTGCACCAGCGCCCGCTGGAGCTGCCGATCCGCCGCCGGCGGCGGCATGGGGTCGGGAGGTTGTGGCTCGCTGTCGGAGTGGCTAGCTGCCTGGCCCAAGGGGCGTGGTCGACTGCTCTGGGCCGGGGGGCGGCATGTGACGATGCTGTGCTGCGGTTGCCGCCCCTGGATGGTGGGCACTGGGGCGCTCCGCGCCTACCTTGGCTGTGGGGACGGCCTCCGCGGAGGCGAGCGCTGCCGGCGCTGCTGGCGCGGCTGCTGCTGGTGCTGCTGCTGTTGCTGCTGTTGCTGCTGCTGCTGCTGCTGCTGGCGCGGCCGCTGCTGCGGCGGCTGTTGTCGTGGTAGCGGCAGCTGTTGCTGAGGTTGTGGCAGTTGTTGCTGCTGCGGTTGCTGCTGCTGCTGCTGCAACTGCTGTGGCTGCTGCTCCAGTTGGTGCGGGGTTGCCGGGGGGAACTGACAGCGGTGCCTGGGGAGCTGGCTGGGATCGGAACCGAGCTGCGGCTGCGGCGAGGGCGGCCGACCCGCGCTCCCCGAGGAAGCACACAAGCAAAGCTTCCTGTGCGGTGGCGGGGATGTAGCCGCTGTTGCGGGAGCAGCCTCGGACCGCCCAGGGCACGTAGATGGAGGCGCCCGAGGGAAGTTGAGCCCCGGCTGCAGCAAGAGCACGTGGCAAAGCAAGCTCTGAGGGCGATAGCTGCACGCCGTCCTGGATTGCCGCTGCTTGCTGGGCCTCCAAAATGAAGAGCAAGGCTTCAATGGCTACTGGAGCTGCACCAGTGAGATCCAGCATAGCCGCGCGCCAGATGGGTGCAAAGGACGGGTGGGTTTCCCAAGCCGACGCAGCTGCACTGCGGAGCAAACCTGCGGCCGATAGCAGGAGGGGAACGTAACACCAGCTGTTCCCATAGGAAAGGACCTCCTGCGGGCCGGGGGGGCCGCGAGAAAACCAAGGCGCTTCCCCGGCGATCGGGGCGGCTGGCTCAGCTGGCGCTGGCTGCACCGTGGGGGCTGGAGCTGCGGAGGCGGAAGCAGCGGCAGCAGGAGTGGGAACTGAGGTCCTGCACGGCTGGCCTTGGCGATGGTCCGCGGGCGGGGCCATATCAACATCGCCCGTCCCCAACGGCAACGGGACCGGCTGACAGGGCAGGACAAGAGGGGGATGGCCATGACAACACACCCAACCCCGTTCACCGTAAGCGACATCAACAGCAAGCACACGGCCCCGTGCACCGCGCAGACAGGGACGACCGGCACGTTCTGGAGCAGGGGGTGATGGCCGGTCAAGTTCGTTGCACCGCAGGCACACCCACTCTGGGTCCCACCTGCCCGTACCTCGGTTGAAGACGGGCATCCACGCCATGTGGCGGGAAGGCAAGTCCACCCACGCCTGGTCAGAGTCGGCGCGCGAGCTGTCCACTAAGGCTACATGCTGGCAGCAAAAAGCCGTGACAGACGATGGCGGAGGGGGGGAGCAGACTCGGGAGCGAGAGGGACAGAACGAGTGTTGTATGACGGGGCCGCCTGAGGCAAGGAGACCGAGTGCGCGGAACACTGGAAAGCAAAACGCTTCTCAGCAACCGAAGTCCAACCAGTACGACAGAACGGGCAGGACATGTGGCGAGAGTTCACACGCAAATGCGCGACACAACCCAGGTGGACACGATGGCCACACGACGGCCACACGAATGGAACCTCGGGCCCTGCGGCCGCACCAGGAACTGCGCACATGCAAATGGGACAGTCTTCAGCATCAGGATTCGAAGGACAAGGCTGAGATCCAGCACGCAACATCCACTCGGGGGTGACAGGGGCCGAGAGCACTGCAGATGGCTGTCCCGGCGCGAGTGGCGTGGCCGCATCAAGGCTGCTATCGGACGCCATTCAGGGCGGTTGCCCCCAGGGCAGCTGACCGTTGTCGACCCTGGGACGGTCCCCCAGATGCTGTTTTTTATACTGGACCAGCCCCAGTAGTGCAGACCGATTGTTTGAGCTGGGACGGTCCCCCAGCGCCGCTTTTTATACTGGACCGGCCCCCAGTGGTGCTGACCGAATGTTTAAGCTGGGACGGTCCCCCAGTTTTTTTCTTTTTTTTCTTCGGGCCTGTTTTTTTTCCCCCCCTCCTCCTCCTGGCCCGGCCTCCAACACGGAGGTCTTAACACAGAGCTGTTGTTGACCTGGACAGCTTCCAGGGGACAGTTTGTTTATACTGGGCCTGCCTCCCAGCTATGCAATCCGTGGCGCCCCGCCGCGCAACCAAAAAGGAAAAGGACCCCAAACGAACCAGGGGCAGCCCCAAAACCAAACAACCGAAAACCGGGGGGGGGAGGAGCCAACCAACAAGGCGCAAAGCACAAGAGCCTTGAGTCCAAGCCGGCCTTGAGCCAAAATGAGTTCAGCAGCATAATGATGATGTTGAAAGCATCATGCTGATACAGTTCTGGTGAGTTCGACGGCATCATGATGATGCGGACAGCATCATGATGATGCGGACAGCATCATGGTGATGCAAACAGCATCATGCTGATGGTAAAGGCAGCATCATGATGATACAGCCACGAACCATCTTGTGACAGCGTATCAGCATCATCCTGATGTTGACAGCATCACGGCGCCACTACAACCACAAACCATAACGCAGCATCGCAGTGACCCCAGTTGCATCATGACGTGGTTGGGAACATCATGACGATACACCAGCCACGAACCGTTACGCGCGAACAGCATCCACCAGCCCCCCAAACTGCGTGCCCCTCCACCAGCACCCCAAACTGCATGCCCCCTAGCACCCGGCCGTCAAGCTCGCAAAGCAGCATCCACCAGCACCCCAAACCGCATCCACCAGCATGCCCCTTGGCACCAGGCCGTCAAGCTCGCAAAGCAGCATCCACCAGCACCCCAAACTGCATGCCCCTTAGCACTCGGCCGTCAAGCTCGCAAAGCAGCATCCACCAGCACCCCCAAACTGCATGCCCCCTAACACCCGGCCGTCAAGCTTGGAAAGCAGCATCCATCAGCACCCCAAACTGCATGCCCCCTAGCACCCGGCCCTCAATCTCGCAAATCACTTTCCACTCTTTATTAGAAGTTAGAACCCCTATAGCTTTCAGCTATCTGGGGAATCACCACAACACATGCGGGTTGAATGCATTCAGCAAAAGCATGCAACATATCTTTCAAAGCCAATACACACCAAACAAAGCACACCTAATAGCTTCCGATAAGCACCAAGGCTCCATCGGCCATGGGGCATGGGCGGTATCTTGGCCAAGATCGCGGTCACGGAGAAGCATCCCTTGCATGGGATCTCGCCAGCGCGAGGGCTCTCCAGCGCGGCTTGGTAACCTTGAACGCAAGGCAAATGGGTGGGCATGGAGCCCAGCCACCTCCATTTGCTTAAGTCCCCTGGAAAAAACAAGTAGTGATAGATTTCCTTTACAACCAACAGGGCAAAATAATGAATAGTCTTAACCAAATGGAAGGCCACTGTAACTTCCTCATTGTCTTCCACCATCCTTCGTTGCAAAACCAGCCAGTTTCCCCATGGCTTTTTGTGGAAAGACCGATCCCCGAAAAGTCTGGGAAGTTTCCCTGGAGTGGTTTCCTCCGAATAAAAACCAAACCACACTTTGGGGTTGTCCATGTCTGGGAGAAAAGCCGCAGACGACCCATAAAAATGAAAGTTACGCTTCATACGATATAGGCCAATGTCCCATTGCTAAGGGTAGGGTCCGGGTGCTTTGCCCATTCGGAGAGAAGCTCTTTTGATTGACTTGTGAAGGGAAAGCCAGCCCAACCAAGGTGCAGCCAGTGGCTTCTTCCCTCTGAAAGTATCTTGCAGAGGGAGTTGGAGTTGTCCATAATAGAAACACACACTCAGGGCCGTTTGGCTGGTGTTTGGCAAGAAAGCTGGAAAACCAGCCATTTGGTTGTTCGTCGATTCCGAATGAAAAAACAAAATGAAATGAGTGGAACAAGCACATCTTGGTTTGTTGGTCAAGTTGGGAAGGGAACACTACTCCAAAAGTTGGTTTGATTGATGTCCAGGAGAAATCGCTCCGTCAAAATCTGCGTAAAGGTTGAGTGTTGAACGGGACATCACTCTCACAAATGAAAACTTGGTTGTTGACCTTAAAAAGAAGACGGCTCCCAAACAATGGCTACAAAAAATCGAGCGCAAACTGGTCAGTATTGCGCGAGGCAACCAGCCATTGCACCAAAAGCCGCCGGCCGCTGGGCTCTACATCCTCTCGGCGAATGCTACGAGAGTTGAAGTTGGTCCAGGTCGTCATGTGCTGAAGGTTGTGATGCCGGGTGGCGTGGTTGAAATGGAATCCACGAACCTGTGATACAAAAAGGCGTCCCCAAGACTAGCCCGCGTAGAAAAGGGGAGATTTCCTTGTCTCACAGAAGTGGGGATAAACCCTACACAAATGCGTTGGCACGAGCACCAAGAGAACCTGTCAAGCGTCTGAGGTCTAAGGTCTGTTTGGGCATGGAGAGAATATTCAGAGTTGTCGGGTGTGTCTGAAAAAGCTCAACACTTCACTGGTGTATCAGTGCTGTCATCTTTAGCGGCTGTTCATTCCTAAGCTATTTGAGTCAGCTAAAAGCCTCGAATGCCACAGCACATCTCGCAGCTTGCATGACGTGTGCGTGTGCGTGTGCGTGTGCGTGTGCGCACGCGCGCGCGCGTGCGTGCGTGCGTGCGTGCGTGCGTGCGTGGGTGTGTGTGTGTGTGAGTCGCTCAATCTAATTTCCCTTTAAGCGCACATCTGTCACACAAAGTACCTGAACCCTCAAACTACCCTTGGTCCTCGGTTTGGTGCATGTGCTTCTACGTTAAAGGGCAATTATTTGAGGGTGCAAGGAAACCGCAAAAAAAAACGGCAGGCCGTCACAATGTCGCTCAAGGTGGAATGCAAGCTCACCAGGTAATGTCTGCTGCACCCCGAAATTATCTATGAATCAAACATGGCTATGGGTCAAAACCAATGGTACCATTTTGGGGTAGGTGCATCACCCATTTTAGTCTATTTTAGTGGGGATTGGGATGTTCACTGGGGGTACGGGATTTTGACCCATAGACACATCGCCAGAACAACCGCAAAGGGACCATGGAAACGAATGCTGCTTATGGCCCTTGGTCCTTCTTGAGTGAAGCTTAAACTTAAATTAACTGGGCTGCCCTCAGATCCCCCGCTAAAAGTTTAACTTTTAGTGGGTTTATTAAATGGAAACTACCTCTAAACACTACAAGGCTAAAAAGCTAAGGGTGGCCGGGAGCCACCAAGTTAAGTGAAGCTGAAACGGCAACAAAAAAACACATCCCAAACTGTGCGCATGTTCAGTCTGCTGGCTTGAGCTTGCTGCATTTAAGAGAGCTGCAGCCTGGTCGATGCACTCAGATTTTGTCTCACTCCTTCTGAAAAATGGTTGCTTAGAATTCCTTTACACCAAAAAGGATACCCGCTTTCAGCAAAACTCCCGACCTGGCAAGGCTCCGTTTCATCTCAGCTCGCTCTTCTTTTCAACTCTTGCATCGACGGATCAACGTCCTTCCGCCCCACGTGCACCGAATTTGGAAGCGACGGCTTATTTGGGTCGCTCCAACTGCCTCAATACATGCGGATCGAGCCAGGTGATTCATCGCGTTTGGACCTCGGTGTCGGTCCATCACAGGCCATCAAAAGGTTGCACGTCTGATAGCCGTGTTGGGCTCCCTTTGAGAACACCTTTTTGGTTTTCGCTGGAAAGGTCAAAGTACATCCTCAAAAGGCACTTGGACCTGTAGAGATGGGTAAACAAAAAGGACAAAACTCCGTCCATGTCTCTCGCGGCAACTTGAACAGAAAACTGTTCAGCTCGGCAAACGCTGGCCTCCTTGGTTGCTGTTGACCCCCCTGCAAAAAGTTGTTTTTTTTGTTTTAACCTTTTTGGGGGTTTAGTGGAAAACACCTTTATTTCCCAAAAAGTTAAAGTCTAAAGATCCAACCCAATAGCAGTCAAGCCTCGGAGGAACCATTGCTGAGGCAAGGGCGAACTACATGTGTAGAAAATGCCGAAGAGGTCCATGAGTGCTGACCTCGCTCGAGATCGAGGAGCATCGAGCCGATTCTGATGTTACTTGTGTGACCTACTTCCCTTTGGTTAAGACCCGATCGAAAAAATAATAATCCAGTATCGATAATTTCCGTTTAAAACCAGCAAGGGGAAACAATATAAAAAACAAACAAAGCAAATGGAAGTGCCCTAGGACCCTTGATTCGAAACTCTCATGTCTCCTGGCTAACGCTGAGATGGGTTTTCCAAGGTGCCACATCTGGTACATCCTTTACAATCTGTCTTCATGTCCTCTGCGTTATGTTTTTGGATCCGCCCAGACAGCGGATGAGAAACTGCCGTGAGAATAGGTTTGCCCCATGAGCGTGAATGGTTGGCTACTGCTTGAGATTCTCTCCAAAAGCGCCAAGGAATCAGAATTGGTTTAGCTTGGTTTCTGCTCGGGGCCCTTACGCAAGGACGTACAATGTCACCTGAGCCAAGGAGAGAAACATGCGGTTACAGGACAGGACATGGGACCCCATGTGCCTCCCAAATGAATCATACTGAGCACCTGGTATGTAAATGGCCTACCCAAAACCACGTCTTGGAATCTAAAGGGCCGCAGCTGTGGCAAGTGTCTGGGGTCTCATTGACTCATACTGTGAATAGATCCATTTCGCCTCGCTTTGAAACCAGGGCCCTTGCCGCACCTAACCTTCACTCTGGAGTCTCATGGTGACTCTGGACCATAGACTATACTCTTATTGCGGACGAAATTCCTTTCGCCCCGCTTTGAAACCGTGACAACCATTTGTTTGGTTTACAGGGGAATCCTCTGAATCAGAAACCAGGCTTTCTGAACGGTGGTGCGACATGGATGGATTTCGCAAAAAAATCCACGGGATGATGTTCGGCCGAGGACGCCTTCACGAGTATGTGAATACAACTGTGCTGAGAACCATCGCCTTGATGGAGCCAATATTGGGCTACCGCCCTTCTTGTTTACTCAGCTATGGACAGCTCAGGTCCCGTTTAACTTTGAGCTCCGCGGTTTCAGCGGCGTGTGATGTTTTTAGTGGCTCCCCGAAGGGCTCTCGCTGAACACCATCCCCAAAGGCTCGCGAGCTTCAAAATTCAAGCCGCCACTTTGGTCTTAGGGTCAGACCCTCCCGAAATCTCTAGGGGTACCTTCCATTTCCATTCTTTCCAGGGATCCGAATCTTTTCAGGAAACCATCAAAAACCCCGTGGAAACAGCCATCGTTTTTTGAAAAGAACGATGCTTGAAAAGAATAGAAAAGGAATCCGGCCCTAGAGTCTTGGCATTTTTGTCACAAAACTCGGGGGACCAAACGTTAATGCGACCATGGGGAATCAAACCCTCAAAAACCAGATTGGTCTCCAAAAAAGGGGCCCGGGGCCCCCGAAATGGATGGGTTTCCCCTTGAGTCGGCGTCCAACTTCGAACACGCCACACACACCGGGCGACCTTTGATCGGCGGCTTTCAACCCATCGGGACGCTCGTGAATTGTTTTTGCTTGCTTTCTTTGTGTTTCCTGTTGTTTTTAAATAAAAAGAATCCGACGATGCGAGGGCCATTTTGAGGCGGCTTCCCCTGAAAATAACGAAACCGGCTCCTATAGCTAAGGGCGAACGGTTGGTTTTCTCTTATTTGGCTGCTTGTTCTGGGGTGCCCTTTTTGGGCAACCTACGGGAAGCCGAATTCTTGTCGGCGCTCTGAGAGTTTTGAGACGATGTATTTGAAGAAGCATCCACCAAAAACAAAGCCGCACCGAGTTTATTGTTCTCCTGCTAGCTTATTGGATTTAACCCAACAAACTCATGCAGAGGAATCTCCTTCAAAGAGACCTCAGCTTTGATGCTAACTTGCAAGGGAAGAACATGCACCAAAAGCCAGCTCACTTCATGAGTGGACTGGTCAGAGAACGCCAAACAATGCCCTTGGGTGTCGATTCCCTTTTTCGTGAAGGGCCCCTGAAATTTCGGACACAAAACTGGGATCCTTTTGGATTGAAACGGGGATGATCAGAGCTTCAAGGCCAGAAGTGACCTTTGGGGTCCTCACCCCTTGCACCCACATCGACAGCCCTGAAATATCGAAATTGCCCGTTTTTAGTACGGGTACCTGGAGTCTCCACCTGAAAAGATGGGGTCTTGTTCGTCGAAAATCGTCCAGAGGGGATCTCCGTTCGCTAAAAGTTTAACTTGTGAGTTGAATGGAAGCCCCACTAAACAAGCTAAAAAGTTAAGGGACCGGATGGCGGTAGTTCTGGGTTTTTGGGGTGGTTCTTTAGGTTTGTTGGGGTCAAGCCTGTGACTTTCGGGCGGGATTTTCGTTTCTTCGTTTTTCTCCGGAGCGAGCCAAGGGGCAACTCCCAGGGGGACTCCGCCCGCAGCGGGGACAGGTCCTGGTCCGTGCCCAAGGGCCTCGGAAAATGTTCGAAGTTTGTCTTGACCAAAGCTTTGCTAGGTCCTCCTCTTCTCCCCCTGCACGTTGGCAACACGCAGAAAGATCGGCCACGGTTCGCTGGAGATCTACACCCACCTTTACTAGGTCCTCCAGATTTGAGAGGTTAGAAGAAGGGAACCAACTTTTTGTTCAGTCTATTTTAGTGCTGGACGACCTAGTTTTTTCCCCTTCCTTTTGTTTTCCGGTTTGTCTATTTAGTAGGGGAACCCTCCCAACCAAAAAAGTTGGTAAATGAGCACTACTGGGGGACCTAGTTTGGGTAGCTTCCATTTGCTTTTTCGCCCGCTGGAAACAATACATACGTGTCCAAAGAGGGAAAATCAAACCATGGTCTTAAGCAAATTTATGAAATGGAAGTCACACTCAAAGGTCTTTTTGTTGCACCCTCCTTCATCAATGGTATTTGGATGTTTATACTCTAAGTGTCCGCGGCACGGATACCCCCTCTCCCCAGAAAAAACAACAAACAACAAAAGTGGGTATCCTCGTGGTGATCCTTCAAAATCAAAGAACAACAGGGGTTCCCTCAAACAAAGATATACGCATTGGAGTCATGCCAAAGTACAATCAGAATCGACTCGGTCCGATTCTTCATGGTTGGGGCTGTTCCTTGTGAACCTTACACTTGGGTGAAGTAGATGCGCAAGTTCACCTTTTAGATTAAGTCGTCCACTTTAAATTTACGGACAAGGCAGTTGCTCCATCGATTTTCACCCAACCGCACCTGGGTTTTGATTGGGCAACCAGCGCACGTTTAGATGCAATCAGGCCTTGGCACGTAGCTGCGTCTTTTGAGAGGTGCGGTCGCCCTAGATATCGCAAAGGGAACAATCATGGGGGCTGGGGGAGGGAGGGGAGGGGGAGGGAGCCCAATAAGCCTTTATTCAGCTCTTCTTAAGGCCTTCTTCAGAGCTTATTTGGGCTCCCTCCCCGTCCCCTCCCTCCCCCCCAGCCCCCATGAAACAAGGAACCCCTCCAATTTACCGTAACTTGCCATTGTCTTTTGGTTGAGCGTGGTTGGTTTTCTTGGCTTTTCTTTGAGGATGCGCATCCTCCTCTTCTCCCCCCGCAGGTTGGCAACATGTAGAAAGATCGGCCTGATTTGTTCACGGTTCGCTGGAGATCTACACCCAGCTTTACTAGGTCCTCCAGTAGAGAGGTTAGAATAAGGGTACCATTTTTTGTTGTCTATTTAATATAAGTGCATCCTCCCAAAAAAAATGTAAAAGGGCACTACAGGGGGACCTAGTTTATAACAGCCTCACTTGAGTGGAGTGGCCCCAAAAAACATGGTCATCACTCGCCATTGCAAAGTGCCAGCCATGAATCGAGCCAAAATTCGATGTTGGAATCCCAGCAGAAACGGATTTGACATGTTGCTTTCCCTTTCTACCGACACCAAAAGGGGCACCCTCAACACAAAACACAGAGCCCCATGATGAAGCCAAGGAACCCTGGTAACACCTAACATGGTTTTAGTCAAGTGAGTGTATAAGTACTATGGCTTTATTTAATGAAAACACAAACACACGAAAAAAACAAAAACTCCCGTTGCTTCGAGGCCATGGACATTCGCTGTCATGGCAGGGCAACAAAACTGAGGCGCACACGTGCCACGCCCAGCACTCGCAGAGAGCTGCGAGCAAAAGCGCGAGCAAACGAATCAATCCCCCAAACGTGTTGGTTTCCGCTGGGTTTCCCACCATGTTCTGGGCTGCCCTCAGATGCCCCGCTAAAAGTTTAGCTTTTTGTGGGTTAAATGCAAACTACCACTAAACACTAAAAAGCTAAAATTAAAAGGCTAAGAGGATGGCTGGGAGCCACCAAGTGTTGAGAAACTCCCATGTTTCTAGGGGTATCTTGCCCCGTTCTTTCCAGGCATCCTTCTTTCTACAAAACCACCCCAAACCCTGGGGAAGCAGCTGGTTTTTGAAAAGAAACATGGTTGAAAAGAATGGGGAATGAGCCCTTAGAATGTTGCCACAAAGGCTTTCAGGATTGGGTCCAGATACCTTCTCAGGACGTACCAAATGACCACTTTAACCCAGGCAAAACCAAAGGTTACCAAGGCTTCTTCTGGGGTAGCATTGTCAAAGTCTTTGGTTGGGCCAGTCAAGTTACATGTGGTAAATATATCGGAAACCTGCCGTGTTTTTTTCGGCCTATTTCAAAAATGGCGGCCAAACCCGGCATGGGGAATACCCCAAATATTAGCACGAAACCAAAAAAAGGGGGCCAAATCCAAAAGCAAATTCCTCTAAAGATGGTGGGCTTTAGGGTTCCATGTTCAACTGAGCAACACTTTCTGTGACACCCAAGGGGGCCATCCTTGCGACCATGTTTTGAGAGGATTCCCGAAGCCACTCGAACAATGCAAGCTGAAACCAAGTTTTCCGCGACCATGAGACCATAGGCGTCCCAACATTTGGGGAAGTTGATGGCAGATGAAACAACAGGTCAACCAGAAAACGCTATCCGATTTGTACAGGAGTGACTGGAATGTCCCTTTAATTGTTGCAGTTTTGGAGGTTCCAAAACGGCGGCTCTACAACCAAAGGACACGTGTTGAGACCCAAAGACTTCCCTGAAATCCAAATCTCGCAGAAGGTTATGGAACTTTGGAACTGAAAGCTTCCACGGAATCGATGGCTAGTGAGGGCATCGTGGTGGGGGTGCTTAAATAAAGGCATACGCAAAGGGGAATCAGCTACCCCCCCCCAACTAAACTGAAACCTTTCATGATTCTCAGTGAACATGGCTTCCCGCACGTACGTACCTACCAGAAGCTACCAGCCTCCTTTTGTCCGCTTCCGTGAGATTAACCCATGGAAGTTGGAACCGCAGGTGTTCAACTAACAGACCCCCCCCCCCCCCCAAAGCCGATCGGGTTCTTAGACTCCCTCAGACTGACTAGGTCCTGTCTATAGGGGAACCCTCCCCCAAAAACAGGGGTGAGAAAGGGCACTACTGGGGGACCTAGCTAACATGGAAGCTCCCAGAAGGCCGATCCTGTAAATGGAACCAAGTCTTTATTTAACGGGTGTTGGGAGCTTGCATGGAATCACCTGAACCTTCTTAGGGGTGCTTGGAACCTTCTGAGGGGTTCTTAGGCTTCTAAGTTCCAAGAACCACGCTCGTGCAAAAATGGGCCCGAAACGTTTCGCCCTATGGCACCATCTGGTTCATGGAACCCCGAAATGCATCAGTCCATTGATTTTGCTGGGAAAAAGGAGGCTCTCTGTAGCTCCCGATCAATCGGGAGACAGGTGCTAATCAGCCCCAGCTCCTTGGCTCCCCACATATGCATGGCCAGTCAACTCGTTGAATCGTAGAACTAGGGAAAATACACGCAAACCCTAGAAACAGCCAGAAAGTCTTCGTGGTTCAAAATGGGAGTCCCTAATCCGATTAGCCTAATCCTAATCCGTAATCTGGAGTGGGACACCACTACAAGGGCAACCACTGCCCGCGCAGAAATGATACGGATGGATCTTGATGGGCTCGGTAGAGGGGAACCCGATTTTGCAGACTTCTCCGGGCTGTCCGCTTTCAGCTCCCTGGTAAAGGTTCAACTAGCGGCTTAAATGGACACCCAGTCACTAAACCGAAACTAAAAACCTTCTAAAACCCGAAGGGACCGGATTCTGGGAACCACCAACTAGGTCCTCCTGTGGAGAGGTTAGAATAAGGGTACCGACTTCTTTTTCTGCAGGCTGTTTTGGTAGGGGAACCCCCCCCAACCAAACAAGGGGTGAGAACGGGCACCTGGCTGGGGGACCTAGCCAAGTTTGGTCCGCTTTTGATCTTGGCAAAGGCTCAAACGGATGCGCCTGCGTAGTGAGGAGCTGACTGTCAATGGCTGTGTCCTGCCAATTCCCCTCTTTCGTTGGAAACGCAGCCGAGAGGAAAGAGCTGAGGAAAGGTTGCGTCATGTTTGGAGGGTACCCGCTTTTTGTTTGTGGCTTTAAACGGAAACCAGAGGGAAGCCACAATTTTGGGCGCTTATTTTTGCGGTTTCAAAGGGACACCAAAAGGAAACCACTTTGCTCTGTTTGGTGTGTGTGTGTGTGTCCCCTAAACAAAGACACAGCGAAATGGCACGAGTCGGCAATGGCTGTCCCCGTACCCCAAGTACCTACTCTTTTGGGTGTGGCTTAAAATCTAACAGCCAGACCGCAGGGTTTAGACTTCTTGTTCATTTACCAGAGTTCCATTTTGGGCCCTACTTTTGAGCCACACCCTTTTAAAAATAATACTAGAACAAACATTGTCTGTGGTAACCTCCTTCTTAAGTCAGTGAATCACCCAGACCCTGAAAAGAAGCGGGTAGGGTGTGGGGGCTACAGTGTCCAAATAAAATGCTTCAGCCAAACCTTGCACAAGCAACTTGCATGTTTGTGGAAAATGAAATGGCACCTTTCTGTAACACAAAAGAGCCCGATTCGAACCGTCTCCATGCCTAAGTATTGAATGTCGCGTGCAACGCCAAGAGCATCGCATAAGAGCCACGGGCCACTCTGAGTCCCCTGGTTTTGTGGGCCAAAGGTAGTGAGACTCGCATGTCCCTCCCAAACGGAGCCATAGACTGGACACTTTGACCAAACCTCATAAGTGCCCGACCGACGCCAGTCTTCCACCAAACCCGTAGACCCGCCGGGCCTCTGGAAGACACGACAGCAGCTCATCGTAGTGGACGTTGCCATAGATCTGCAGGTATTCAGGTGGGTTGATCTTTGAATCCCAATGAACACATGAGAGCTTATCAACATAGGTCCCCTGAATCTTTGCATTCGTCCTGGTTTCCCTTTAAAACATCAACCCAAAGCGGGTCCAGCATTTTGGAAAGCACGCTCATAGGACCCCTGTCGCATCCGCATCTGAACGGGGCCTCCGCCGCCCCACTCCACTAGGAAGGCCCCTTTGGCAGAGGACTCGCTTCCAGTCGAGTGGATTGGCCCCCGAAAAAAAACGAACTTTGTGTTGGCCGTCAAACTGGTCTTCCCAAAAAAAGTCAAAAAAATCCGGGAACTCAGGGAGTGAGAAGAACAGATTGTGGTACGTGTTTCAAACAGATGCCTTTTTACAGTGCCCCAGAAGAGCTGGATGCATCTTAGAAGCTTGACAAGCACGTTCAACTCTGTCAAAACGAGCTGGATCTGTTTTGCCCTCCTACTCCAGATACCCGATTTTGTTTGAGTCGGTATATTTTGTTAACAGCTCGTGTTCCAATGTAAATGCCGTCCATTGTTGACATCATACCCTGAAACAAGTTGGTATTGGCAGCAAAGGATCCAACTCGCGTTGGCACACCTGAAACAAAGAGCACCCCTTTCAGTTCAACTTTCGGCCGGTTGTACAGCGAATCAAACAGGGAAATCAGAGAAATCAACCTCCAGCGCAAGGCTTCAGCCCCCATCTGAGGGAAATGGCCACAAGGCGACGGGATTGGCTTCGCAGTTCCCGGAAAGAACAAAAACGCCCCAAGCGAAAAGAACGGAGGAGGGACGACGCATCCTGAGTTGGTCCAGAACTTGGTGGGGATTCACGTCCACGATGGTTCGCTATTAAAATTCCTAACCACATGAAAAAGGTTAGTTCAAGGTCAAACCAAACACAAAGTGCGATGAGGGAGTCAACCAACCAACCAACCTTCCAACTTTCCAACTTGGCAACTTTCCACCCGACCGACCGACTGACCAACCGACTGACCAACCGACCCTTTTTGGAAAACAATACACTGTCTTCACACCATTTGAGCCACAATCAAACCCCAGTATTAAAATGGTGAACCCAGAACTATGCTTCAAGAATTAGAAGGCGGAGATTCGCGGCTATTTATGGCTGGGATTGGCCCTTACTAACCCTCATCTACCCGGGTTTTGATTGTGACTCACCTAGCTCTACAGCAAGGCTCACCCCTCCAACCCCCGAACTCTCCAAAGAACGGGGAATGGGCCATGGGGGCTGGGGGGGAGGTAGGGGATGGGGAGGGAGCCCAAATAAGCCCGAAATAAGGCGTAAGGGCTTAATAAGGGCTTATTTGGGCTCCCTCCCCTTCTGCTCCCTCCCCCCCCAGCCCCCACTGCCATTTGGCCACACCAAGCAGTCGCTCATCGACAGCCTCCACGTCCTTCGCCGTCGCCGTTCTCAGCTTGCCCCTGATGGCTGAAACGTTCACAGCCGCCTGGCGCTCTCACACGCCAGTGTCCAACTTACACGTCCTGAGTGGATTGGCCAACAAAGATCCAAACTTTTGGTTTGCCACTATAATGGCCTTCCCAAAAACTGGGCTGCCCTCAGATCCCCCGCTAGAAGCTTAACTTTTAGTGGGTTAAATGGAAACTACCACTAAACACTAAACAGATAAAAGGAAAAGGCTAAGGAACCGGATGGCTGGGAGCCACCAAGAAAAGTATGAAGTCCATGAACTCAAGAAGTGAGATGCTTCCCAATCAGGGAGCCCCTCTATCCAAAAAAAACATCATGAACTGGCTGTGGGTCAAAAATAGGCCCCCGACACGGAACCCTGGTAAATGGAAATAAAGGCTAAAACCTGTGGTCCCCTGGTTGATAAATTTTGAACCTTTGCAGGCTGGTTAAAGACTGCTTTCAGGAAATCGAGGTGGAATGCTTCGGAGAGATTACCTCCATTTGCTTAAGTCCCCTCGAAAAAAAATAATAAAACATCCAGTAGGGATAGATTCCCTTTAAAACCAACAAATGGAAGATTAGGTTCTTCGATTGGCTCCTTCCGACCGGTGAGCCACAAAGCGATCTATCGGCCATGGCCCATGGCGGCCAATTCTGAGTTCGGGTTGGCGAGCTGCCAGTTGTTTGGGGGATCGAAGAAAACTGGGGTAAACCAAGACGGGGCTACCTTCCATTTCCATTTTAAACCCAGGGATCCGGATCGTTCTACCTCCGGAAACCCGATCGGAAAAACGGATCCGGTTTTTGGAAAGAACGATGGTTGAAAAGAATGGGGAATCAACCCCTAGAAAGACAGGCTCCAACTGAAAGGATACATTTGGGCTGGTCAAAAGTCACCTTTGAATCCCGGAGATGCACGAGTGCTTCCGTAGCTTTTCTGCGCACATGCATCAACAGGGCTCCTTACAGTTACAGGATATCGGATACCCGCAACAAGCAGCTGTGGAAGGGGCGCTTTGTTCCTTTTGAGGGTGCCTTTTGGGTTGGTGTTAAACGGGAAACGGCTAGAACAAAACCACGAAGTCTACGCGATCCATTCGCCCTAAAAAAAAGCCCCACAAGAAAAATCCGGTTGCTTTCTGCTCCCCTGCTAAAAGTGACTCACTTTTAGTGGTTCAATGGGGAAAACCCATCAGTTGGCAAAACGTGTTCAAGTCCTAACATCCCTTGGCAAAATGCACCAAAGAAACGACACACCATGTATCCGGGAAAAAAACAAAAAACTTAGAGATTTTCGAGAAAAGGCCAGGCAGGCAACGGCCACGCCGTTCCGCTTCTCCGCAAAGACCTGATGATGGAACCCAGCGACTGGGGGTGGGGTGAGGGGGTGGGGGGGTGGGGGGGTGAGGGGGTGAGGGGGTGAGGGGGTGAGGGGGTGAGGGGGTGGGGTGAGGGGGTGAGGGGGTGAGGGGGTGAGGGGGTGAGGGGGTGAGGGGGTGAGGAGGTGAGGGGGTGGGGGGTGGTTGGTTTGCAGGGAAATCGATAGGACATGATAGAACATTTAGAAAAAACTTGGTGAATCATTTACCACTAAAGTTGTCTTCGAACCCAAAATTATAGAGTCCGGAAACTGGGGACGTGAGTACATTATTCGAGTCAGGCACTTTGATCACATGTATATTGTATTGCTATTCAAATTTCAGTCACCAGGAACATGTAGCATGCAATATGTCCTCCAACTCTAGTCTCAGCTTGAGGATTCCCCTTGACATTGCCATTGGGTCCACACTTGTCAATCCGTTGAGTTCAAATCCAACGATTCCTTGGAACGAACATGGGTCCAACTGTCACAAGGCAAGTTCACCTAACTGTGATAGTCCCATCTCCTAAATCTTGTCTAAATGGGTACGTGTCAAACTGGAGGGACCCCAAGCAGAGATGGCGTTCCTCTTGGTTTTGCTCCCTTTTTCCCCAACCTGACAGAGGGTACCCCCAAAAAAACACAAACACAAACACAAACACAAACACAAACAAACAAACAAACCAAACAAACAACCAACCAAACAACCAAACAACCAAACAACCAAACAACAAAACAACCAAACAACCAACCAACCAACCAACCAACCAACCAACCAACCAACCAACCAACCAACCAACCAACCAACCAAACCAACCAAACAAACACACACACACACACAAACACACAAAACACAACAAAACCAAACAAAACAGACAGACAGACAAAACAAACAAACAAACAAACAAACAAAAACACACACAAACACACAAACACACAAAACAAAACAACACAAAACAAAACAATACAGACAGACAGACAAAACAAACAAACAAGCAAGCAAACAAACAAACAAACAAACAAACAAACAAACAAACAAACAAACAAACAAACAAACAAACACACAAACGAACAAACAGCAAACAAACAAACAAACAAACAAACAAACAAACAGACAAACAAAACAAACAAACAAACAAAACAAAACAAAACAAAACAGACAGACAAACAACGCTCAGACGTCCTGTAAACGCGCGTTTTTTTTCGTTCTTTCCCCCCTGTAATGGCCGCAAAAACGCGCAAATCATATGGTTTTTCACAGGTTTCGAGCAAGTCCAGCAAAGGGTGGGCCGGATGTCCGAGTGGAACTGCAAGAGCACGGCCTATCCTTAGGTGAATCCAAATCAAAACCTGTTGTTTAAATGGTCGCACTCCCAGAACCATGTACAGAATTAAAAAGGCTGACTGGGTGCACTTGAACGGGTGTTCTTACCATTTGGCTGGCATGGATGCAGTGCTGCGCGGGTGCACTTGAACGGGTGTTCTTACCATTTGGCCGGCATGGATGCAGTGCTGCGCGGGTGCACTTGAACGGGTGTTCTTACCATTTGGCTGGCATGGATGCAGTGCTGAACGGGTTCTTACCATTTGTGGATGCGCATGTTCTTACCATTTGGCTGGCATGGATGCAGTGCTGCGCGGGTGCACTTGAACGGGTGTTCTTACCATTTGGCTGGCATGGATGCAGTGCTGCGCGGGTGCACTTGAACGGGTGTTCTTACCATTTGGCTGGCATGGATGCAGTGCTGCGCGGGTGCACTTGAACGGGTGTTCTTACCATTTGGCTGGCATGGATGCAGTGCTGCGCGGGTGCACTTGAACGGGTGTTCTTACCATTTGGCTGGCATGGATGCAGTGCTGCGCGGGTGCGCTTGAGCGGGCGTGCCTATCGTGAGTGTGAATTTCCATATAATTCCCGCGTTTTACGTGGTAGTGGCCGGAAATGCACGAATCCTGTGAAAAACCATATGATTTGCGCGTTTTTGCGGCCATTACAGGGGGGAAAGAACCAAACAAAGCGCGCGTTTACAGGACGACCGAGCCACAAACAAACAGACAAAACAAACAAACAAACAAACACACAAACAAACAAACACAAACAAACAAACAAACAAACAAACAAACAAACAAACACACAAACAAACAAACAAACACACAAAACAAAACAAAACAGACAGACAAAACAAACAAACAAACAAACAAACAAACAAACAAACAAAAAAAGAAACACACACACAAACACACAAAACAAAACCAAACAAACCAAAACAATACAAAACAGACAGACAGACAAAACAAACAAACAAACAAACAAACAAACAAACAAGCAAGCAAGCAAGCCAACAAACAAACAAACACACAAACAAACAAACAAACAAACAAACAAACAAACAAACAAACAGACAAAACAAACAAACAAACAAAAAAACAAACAAACAAACAAACAAACAAACAAACAAACACACAAACAAACAAACAAACAAAACAAAACAAAACTGACAGACAGACAAACAAACAGACAAAACAAACAAGCAAACAAACACACAAACAAACAAAAAAAAACAAACAAACAAACAAACAAACAAACAAACAAACAAACACACAAACAAACACACAAACAAACAAACACACAAAACAAAACAAACAGACAAAACAAACAGACAAACAAACAAACAAACAAACAAACAAACAAACAAACAAACAAACAAACAAACAAACAAACAAACAAACACACAAACAAACAAACAAACAAAACAAAACAAAACTGACAGGCAGACAAACAAACAGACAAAACAAACAAGCAAACAAACACACAAACAAACAAAAACAAACAAACAAAACAAACAAACAACCAAACAAAAGAGAGGGGGTTGTAACCACGACAAAAACGCGATTTTGTTACCATGACAAGGTGCAATGTTACCACGGCAGAAAAAAAGCGTTACAGCGACATGTTTCTTGCGGGCTTATCCCGACAAGCAGGGAAATAGAAAGGAATAAGAAGGCATGAGAAGGTCAATAAGAAGGAATAAGAAGGAATAAGAAGGTCAATAGAAAGGAATAAGAAGGAATAAGAATGTGAATAGAAAGGAATAACAAGGAATAAGAAGGTAGAACAATAAGAAAGGAATAAGAAGGAATAATAAGGAATAAGAAAGAATAAGAAGGTGATTTAGAAAAGGAATGGAATAAGAAGGTCAATAGAAAGGAATAAGAAGGAATAAGAAGGTCAATAGAAAGGAATAAGAAAGAAGGTCAATAAAAGGAATAAGAAGGAATAAGAAGGTCAATAGAAAAAAATAAGAAGGAATAAGAAGGTCAGTAGAAAGGAATAAAATAAGAAGGTCAATAGAAAGGAATAAGAAGGAATAAGAAGGTGAATAGAAAGGAATAAGAAGGAATAAGAATGTGAATCGAAAGGAATGAAGGAATAAGAATGTCAGAAGGAATAGAAGAAAAGAAGGTCAGTAGAAAGGAATAAGAAGGAATAAGAAGGTCAATAGAAAGGAATAAGAAGGAATAAGAAGGTCAATAGGAAGGAATAAGAAGGAATAAGAAGGTCAATAGAAAGGAATAAGAAGGAATAAGAAGGTCAAATAGAAAGGAATAAGAAGGAATAAGAAGGTCAATAGAAAGGAATAAGAAGGAATAAGAAGGTCTAAGAAGGTCAATAGCAAGGAATAAGAAGGCCAATAGAAATGAATAAGAAGGAATAAGAATGTGAATAGAAAGGAATAAGAAGGAATAAGAAGGTCAATAGAAAGGAATAAG